AATACACCCTTTATTTATTTTTACAAATATATCCTTTATTTTTACAAATACGCCCTCTATTTTTACAAATACGCCCTTTATTTTTACAAATACATCCTTTATTTTTACAAATGCATCCTTTATTTTCTCAAATACACCCTTTATTTTTACAAATACGCCCTTTATTTTTACAAATACATCCTTTATTTTTACACAACTCTTTATTTTTATGCAAACTCTTCCTGAAATGTTTGACAAACTCTCATTCATTTCGCATGCACTCTCTAATTTCAAGAACACTCCCTTTAAGGTTACCGGAGGCTATTGAGAGTTTGACCTCTGAGCTTCAGGGTCAACTGTTCCAGATTCTGACCAGGAGTACACATCAGCTCCTTGACACTGCTAAATATTCTCAGGAAAACATTTTTTTTTATTTGAATTTTTAAAGTTTTTCTCAAATTTATTCCTTTTCTGTTATCTATATATATAAAGTTGTAATCTCTATTTGTTTGTCCGATCATAACTCAGGCACCCCAGGACCGATTGGCCTCAAATTTTGATTGGGGAACTCGGGAAAGCCCCGGGAATGTTTGTAGACCGTAACTCAGGAACCCCTGGAGCGATTTGCCTCAAATTTTGATTGGGGAACTCGGAAAAGCCCCGGAAATGTTTGTAATTTGGTTTTGATATTCTAAGTGGAGTGGATTGAGTGAAAACAGCTAAAATCGTAACTTACAACAACGCTGGGTTACTTACTTACTTACAATTACTTATATACTTACTCACTTACCATAAAAACTCTTTGGAAATAACATTTAAAATGGGAACTTTTATCAGGAATGCAAATTTAATATTTTGTTGAAAAAGGGTAAAAGTTTTAAAATCATCTTCTTGTAATTTAATACCTAATTTTTTCAATTTTTATTTTGTAATACACACTGGTTTCAATATCAGAATTAAACACTTTTCAAGCTGGAAAAACGATATTATCTTTCAAATAGTTAATAAAAAAAGATTTAAAGGTACCATTGTTAATCATGCATGCCCATTTTTTTAATGGAGGGTCTCTTTAAATTACAATGACAGTTTTTTAAATTTTGTGAAACGAACTGGTTTTATCAGGGGGATAAACGCCTTCTTCCTCAACTTTTCTCTGCTGTGGTCTCCCAGCTGAACCGTGTGGTTGACGCGTACCGTCTTGCAGCCAAGGCTGGGCAGAGAGCAGTTACTCGGCATAAAGCCGACCCGGTCCGACTAGATCTGGCAGATGTTTGGTCTAAGGTTCAATCTGTTATTCAGGTAGATCAATCAATCAATTAATCAAAAATTAAAGTATATGTAATCAATTAACCAATCAATCAATTAGTGCATGAATGTGTAGATCAATTAATCATAAAATAAAGGAAATCTAAATTAAGCAATCAATTAATAACATCCAAATCGGTCAAACAGTTCATTTCCTAATCAATTAATGAAACAATGCTTGTTTATATAAGTTTATGCGTTAATTTAGAATTTAGATGTTTCAATTTGAATTTAATCAATTTGTTAATTGAAAAAAATACTTAGGTTCTGCTGACAGACTATCTGGACTTCAAGTCCAGTAGCACTATGGGCAGCATCAACGTTCATCAGAACACCAGCAACAACTTTAGGGACAATATCTTCAGCAATAGCTTTCATAGCAATCTCAACCACTAGATATTAATGTTACAAGAGTATAAATGTTTGCAAAGAAAAATAAGATAATTACAGAAGATCCCCAACGATCATTAAGATCTAATCACATTCTTCCACAAACAAATATGACACCTTTTTACCAACAGATGATTATTACTTAATCCTTCTAAGAATCTAAACCTCACTTCACTTTATTTGGAAATTCCAAAATATTTCATTAAGTCTGGCGGCCATGTTTAATTTATGTACAATCAGGTGATTAATATTGAACTGTACAGTGAGCCAACAGCTGACATCAACTCATACTTTGTGCGTCGTAAGATTGCGCGGCCCAAGCGCTCCTCTCTGTTTAGGTAAATCATTGGATTTTTAAATCAAAATTGTTCCTAGTAACTATTATTTATGAAAATAAATTATTTATTTCAGGTTTGATAGTTCCTCCACTGCGCTAACTATCAACGACTTTATGAGAGAAAATAACGCTGAAGAATCTGGTATTTGTCTTTAATTAATTTTTTTTGGGAACATTTTCTTCCGATTTTTTTTAATAGAAATCCAACTGAAAACAAGGTTTTCACCGTCATTGAAAACTTTGATAACGTTTTACGTGCAGTTTTGAATTTTCGTTGGAACTTTTGTACTTTAAAAAATGGTCATTGTTCATTATAATATAAGTATTTGTCATAGTAGATTTAGACTTTAGTTTAAATAAAACTTATGTTGTGTGTTGTGTGTGAAGGGTTTGGAGGAGGAGGAGATGAGAAGGTTCTGGTGTGTGACGCCAACCCTCACAATATCACACTCATCTTCAACCAGCTCATCGCCTTCATTCAGCAGATAGAGAAGGTATACAGAGACATCTGGCCAGTTCATTTCAAACTAGAAAATTCAAATTAATATACAGAGACATCTGGCGAGTTCAATTCAAATTAGTATTTAAAATTACCACTAAAGAGACATCTTGTGGGTTCATTTCAAACTATCAACTCAAATTACCACTACATGGAGAGACATCTGGCAAGTTCATTTCAAGTTAGCAACTCAAACTATTATATAGAGACATCTGTCGAGCTCATTTCATACTAGCAATTCAAATTACCACCTAAAGACATCTGGCAAGTTTTATTTTAAACTAGCATTTGAAAGAACCACTCATGAGACATCTTGTGGGTTTATTTAAAGAGACATTTGGCGAGCACATTTCAAACTAGCAACTCAAATTACCATTAAAAAGACATCTTGCGGATTCATTACAAACTAGCTACTCAAATTACCACCACTTAGAGAGACTACAGAGACACCTGGCAAGTACATTTCAAACTATTAACTCAAATTACCACCATTTTTTTTAATTATCAGGCGATCTGTATTATAAATCATAATTTTGATGTTTTTTTATTATTTGAAGGCTCTGAAATGTCAACCTGGAACTCATTGCACTCTTTATGCCTTCCTCATGGACTATATTAAGGTAAACTCATTCAATTATTCATTTATTCATTTATTCATTTATTCATTTATTCATTTATTCATTTATTCATTTATTCATTTATTCATTTATTCATTTATTCATTATAATAATAGGATGTATTCCTGGGACAAATCCACGTTGATATCTCCAACTCCTTGAACTCCGCCAGTCAGAGCTTAGATGCTTGGAAATCTGTCACAGATTCAGAGATACTTAGAAACCTCAAGGTAGGATATTCATGAATTCATTCATCCTAATATTCATCCTTACTTTCATTCATTCATTCATTCATTCATTCATCCTTTCATTAATTCGTTTATTCATTTATTCATTTATTGATTCATTCATCCTTCCATCCTTTCATCCTTGCACCTATGCATCCTTCCATTCATTCATTCATCCTTCCATTCATCCTTTCATTCATTCATCCTTTCATTCATTCATTCATTCATTCATCCTTTCATTGATAATATTTGTTCCCCCTAAACTTTTTTATAAGGGAGGGGGGAAGTGATTATATATCATTTCTATTAATTTTTTTCAGGTGTCACATATGTCATATTTTATAGCGTATTTTGTCATTTATTCGCTTTGTACAATTCATACTGAGGCCGAATTTAAAGAATTTGAGCCGCGGCTTAAATATGGTTAGTTCCACTTAAAATTGTATCAAATGTTTCAAGATTTAAGCCGGCGCATAATTTAAACCGGGTGTTTGTGGCTTAAAGCCGCGGCTCAAATTTTTTTAATTCGGCCTCTGTATTGTTTTTGAATTTTCAAAATGTTTAGGTTTCTCGCCCCCTGCTTCAGAGCACTGTAAATGTTTGGAAAAGCATTGAGGTAAATATTCGAATTTGAATTGTCATTTTGTAATTTTTTATGATGTTTAATATTCTGAATAAAGGAATATGTGATTTATGATGTTTATTATTCTGAAGAAAGGAATATGTGATTTATGATGTTTAATATTCTGAATAAAGGAATGTGTGATTTATGATGTTTATTATTCTGAATAAAGGAATATGTGATTTATGCCAAACTTAACTGAAAGATAAAAACTGAAGACATCTTTGAAGGGCACTGTTTTGAGCAGCTGATGTTTCTTTAAACCAACAGTTCGACGTAAACAGTCCCTTTAAAACATATAATCCTATTTCTAGGACCTAGGAGAGATGATGGTGACCCTCCCCCTCTACTCAACCCACTTCCTTACCATCATGTGCAACATACTCATGCAGTACAAGGTATTCTTTATAACTAGCTTTTTTATACACGATGAGAACCAGAATACCCTGGAATATAAAGACGACTTTTAGACTCAAGTTATGACTGTAAATAGTTCAATGAGCATAAGACAAAGGAATTCTGCAATGCTAAAAGATCCCATAATCTTTAAAAGTGATTTAATAAGTTAAAAATAAAACTTTTTGCTTTGTAACAACATCAAAACACAAGCGTATTGTTATAATGTCGTCTTCATTATCAACAGTTTTCGAGTTATTACTGTACAAAGATTATGTAATTCATTAAATCATTAGTTTGGCTTCTCTATTTGCTTGTACCCAATTCACCCAATACACGTTTCAGCGGCGTTTTTTGTATGACCTCACATGCCCCAAAGAAAGATTTATATACTAGTATGAAAACCAACTTTTCAAAGTTGAAATAAAAACTTTTTTAAAAAGTTTTTTTAAAGAAATTTTTAAAATTGATACTCATTACTCATGGAGTTCGAATATTTAACAGGATTATAAATACTTTAAATACTTTTTACTCAAAAATTCATAATTTTCTGCAATAACCTTAACAACATTCTCATGAAATACGTGTTAATCAATTCATTCAAAGTTTGAAATTTTTTCTTTAAATGTTTTTAGGTTTTAGAATTCCACGGGAAACGCTGGGCACTTCAGCTAGTACCCTAAAATTGTATATTTCGAAAATCGAAATGTCATGGTATTTTCAAAATTTAAAATACTTTCCAAACTCAATTCCTTTTTTGTTCAGGAGATATGTGGCGCTGCGTACAGAGGTTTAGTTCAACCAGATACCGAGGATAAACGTATCATCTCAGCACAGTGGGCCAAGGACGAGGATATTTCAAGGTAAGATCACAGTGGGCCAAGGACGAGGATATTTCAAGGTAAGATCACAGTGGGCCAAGGAGAAGGATATTTCAAGGTAAGATCACAGCGGGCCAAGGAGGAGGATATTTCAAGGTAAGATCACAGTTGGCCAAGGACGAGGATATTTCAAGGTAAGATCACAGTTGGCCAAGGACGAGGATATTTCAAGGTAAGATCACAGTGGTCTAAAAATGAAAATATTTCAAGGTAAGATCACAGTGGGCCAAGGATGTTTGTAAGTTCACAGTGCACGTGTATGATGAGTATATTTCAAGTTAAGAAATAGTGGTCTAAAGATGAGAATATTTCAAGGTAAGATCACAGTGGTCTAAAAATGAAAATATTTCAAGTTAAGATCACAGTGGGTCAAGGATGTTTTAACGTAAGTTCACAGTTCACGTGTATGATGAGTATATTTCAAGGTAAGAACACAGTGGGTTAAGGACGGGGTATTTCAAGGTAAGAAATAGTGGTCGAAAGATGAGAATATTTCAAGGTAAGATCACAGTGGGTCAAGGATGAGGATTAACGTATCATCTCCGCACAATGGGCGAAAGACGAGGATATTTCAAGGTAAGATCACAGTGGGCCAAGGATGTTTCAATGTAAGTTCACAGTGCACGTGGCTTAACTATTAGGAAATTTAAAGGTAAAATCACAGTGGTCAAAAGAAGAATAAATAACAAAATAGCTTGTCGGGATGAAAAAAAAAAATGGATTGAAATCAAGAAAAACTCTTTTGAGATCAGAAACTGGCCATTAGGGATGGAAAAGTGACTCGTTTTGATCCAAATGGTCTTACTAAAATCAAATTTAATTGTGCCCCAAGGATATAAATTATTATATTTTTTAGATTCCTGAAGTCGCTGCCTAACTGGGAGGCTGTATTTGAGGACGATGATGTAGGAGGGGGAGGAGGAGGGAGAGGGGTTGAGGAGAGTGTGGAGGAGGTTGAGAAGAGGAACCGGAAGGAAACTGAGATCCTTGTTCAGAATCTGGGGAGCTCAGATATTCCTCAACATGAGATACTCTCAGATTCAAACCAACTTAGGTAGAAGCAAGATAATATTTCGGGGGTATATAATATTTTCATGAAAAATAACTTTTCCCCCTTTTGGATTTTTTAGATATTATTTAGATAGTTTACGGTAATATTTAGATATTTTATGGTAAAATTAGATATTTTATGGTAAAATAAGATAATCTATGGTAATATATAGATAATTAATGCTAAAATTAGATAATTTATGGTAATATTTAGATGATTAATGGTAAAATAAGATAATTTATGGTAAAATTAGATAATTTATGGTAAAATTAGATAGTTTATGGTAAAATTAGATAATTTATGGTATTATTTAGATAGTTTATGGTAAAATTAGATAATCAATGGTAAAATTGGATAATTTTTGGTAATATTAAATAATTTATTGTAAAATTAGATAATTTATTGTAAAATTAGATAATTTATGATAAAATTAGATAGTTCATAGTAAAATTAGACAATTTATGATAAAATTCAGATCTCTGGCCCAACTACATGAAAGCTTGGATTGGTTTGCAAGATCTGTTTTAAACTTGAGCAAAACTTTAAAGGTACGTAGTTTTATTTTCATTACAGGGAGACACAAAAAGTTGTGGAATGGGAATACGACTGTTTTGATTTGAAATAGTCCAATGACACTTGGGTGAACGTAAGTGCTGACCCCAATCTCTTTAAATGCAGGATTGTTCTTATAATAATATGAACATAAAACATAGCAATTGTGCTGTGTACACTGTTGTACAGTCAGTGTACAGTAATTGTACACTGACTCATTTCATTTAAAACATGATTTTGAAGCTTATTCTTCTCAAATACTTTATTTACATTGCTTTTTTCACATATTTTGAAGCTACTGGTAAAATTATTTACTTTATAACAAGATCTGTCATTTTCCTATTTCACATGCACAACTTTTAACAGAGGGGTTAGTCCCGATTAACAACGAAGTTCTTTAACCCTATATTTAATAGATATTTTGGAAGATATCCTTGTTTTTCTAGCTTGAAAATGATTAAATTCTGACAATTTCTTCCATTTGTCTCTGTATGTCACTTATATGGAGAAACCACAGTTGAAGTCATTAATTTTCAAAGAAAAAACTTGAATATTTTTTTCATTCTTAATCAAACAGAGGTTCAAAGGGTGCCGTTGTGAATCTGACATGCTATTCTACTATTGGAATGTCATTTAAAATTAAATGTCTACAGTCCCTTTAACTTTATTTGTATAGGATCATGCACTGCCTGAGAGTACCCTTCAGACCCTGATATCCTTGGCCCAGGAGTTTGTAGAACTCGGAGATATTTGTCTTCTTGTTCTTCATCTGGAGGTTCGAGTTCACTGCTTCTTCTATCTTCTTCCCCTTTGGCGGGGACCAGGTGAACTTTATTCCTCTATCCCTCTAGCGGGGACTAGGTGAACTATATTCTGTCTTCTATCCCTCTAGCGGGGACCAGGTAAACTATATTCTTCTATATCCCTCTAGCGGGAATAGGTATCTTATCCCTCTAGTGGGGACCAGATAAACTATATTCTATCTTCTATCCCTCTAGCGGGGACCAGGTGAACTATATTCTATCTTATATCCCTCTAGCGGGGACCAGGTGAACTATATTTTTCAATCCCTCTAGCGGGGACTAGGTGCACTATATTCTATCTTATCCCTCTAGAGGGAACCAGATGAACTATATTCTATCTTCTATCCCTCTAGCAGGGACTAGGTGAACTATATTTTTCTATCCCTCTAGCTGGGACTAGGTGAACTATATTCTATCTTCTATCCCTCTAGCGGGGACCAGGTGAACTATATTCTTCTATCCATCTCGCGGAGACCAGGTGAACTATATTCTTCTATACCTCTAGCTGGGACTAGGTAAACTATATTCTATCTTCTGACCCTCTAGCGGGGACCAGGTGAACTATATTCTTCTCTTCCTCTAGCTGGAACTAGGTAAACTATATAATATCTTCTATCCCTCTTGCAGGGACCAGGTGAACTATATTCTTCTATCCCTCTAGCAGGGACTAGGTGAACTATATTCTATCTTATCCCTTTAGCTGGAACCAGATGAACTATATTCTATCTTCTATTCCTCTAGCAGGGACCAGGTGAACTATATTTTTCTATCCCTCTAGCGGGGACTAGGTGAACTATATTCTATCTTTTATCCCTCTAGCGGGGACCAGGTATACTATATTCTTTTATCCCTCTAGCGGGGACCAGGTGAACTATATTCTATCCCTCTTGCAGGGACCAGGTGAACTATAATCTATGTTCTGCGTTTACTGCTGTTTTCCATTGCATAATGAGCTCCCTTATGTACTTATAACTATATTTATATTATGTATATATACTTAATTGTTTGTAAAGAAGAATTTAAAAAATATATATTGAATTGTCTAGGGGGAGGTCCATCTCAGTATTTTGGCGGACCTGACTCTACGGATCCTAGTAATGAGATCATTCAGCTTAACAGGTTAGATAATTCATAGTCAAGCAACTGTATGAGACGGGATTTCAGATGGGGCTAAATTATATCCTTTAAAGAAACTTTTGAAAGAAAACCCTTAGCTCATAGCTTAAAGCTCCTAGAGAATAAAGTTAGCATGGTCTTAGCGTGTTTCCTGGTATAACTAAAAAAATTGAACCTGAGCTGAAAAATTTAGAATGGGATATCCTTAATCGGTTATTTAATCTGGAGATTGATAACTAGAGGAGAACAAGCAATATTTAATCTGGAGATTAAGAAAAAGAGGAGATTAAGCCTTGATCTCGATATCCACCATTCTAAAGATTTCAGCTCTGAACTCTTACCTTACCATTAGAAATTCGTCATTTTGGGGCAATGGCGTTGATAAAAGACAAAGATTGAATAAAACTATTTAAAAGTAAAAAAAATGAAGAATGAATAATTGGGTTGTTATCCACTGATCTTTGTGAAGGGATGGGCGTCACTCTTAACTTCGATGAATGGTGGGTTGTCTATTAATAACGATGAAAGAACTGAATTTCCCAGCGTTCTCCGTGGAATTTCAAAACACTCGGTATAGAATGACCTGCTGAATACGTACAACAGTACAAACAAACACATATACCGCAGCTTTGTTTTGTACAAGATAATAGTTGATTAACTAGGGATCAGGTGGCTGTAGAAGATGCTCTTGGTTTTGCTCTTCAAGATAATAATAGTTGATTAACTAGGGATCTGGTGGCTGTAGAAGATGCTCTTGATTCTGCTCTTCAACCCCGTCGTATTCAATATATATTTGAGGGAGTCTCTCATCTAGGTATTATTATTATTATTATTATTATTAATATTATTATTATTATTATTATTTTTATTATTATTNTTCATTATTAATTTCATTCATTTATTTATAAAGTATATATTCAGTTATTCATTAATAATTTCATTCATGTATTTATAAAGCATTCATTCAGTTATTCATTAATAATTTCATTCATGTATTAATTTAGTTATTCTTTAATAATTTTATTCATTTTTTTATATAGCATTTATTAATGATGCATTCATTTAGTTATTCATTATTAATTTCATTCATTTATTTATAAAGTATATATTCAGTTATTCATTAATAATTTCATTCATGTATTTATAAAGCATTCATTCAGTTATTCATTAATAATTTCATTCATGTATTAATTTAGTTATTCTTTAATAATTTTATTCATTTTTTTATATAGCATTTATTAATGATGCATTCATTTAGTTATTCATTATTAATTTCATTCATTTATTTATAAAGTATATATTCAGTTATTCATTAATAATTTCATTCATGTATTTATAAAGCATTCATTCAGTTATTCATTAATAATTTCATTCATGTATTAATTTAGTTATTCTTTAATAATTTTATTCATTTTTTTATATAGCATTTATTAATGATGCATTCATTTAGTTATTCATTATTAATTTCATTCATTTATTTATAAAGTATATATTCAGTTATTCATTAATAATTTCATTCATGTATTTATAAAGCATTCATTCAGTTATTCATTAATAATTTCATTCATTTATATATATATATATATATAGCATTTATTCAGTTATTTACTATTAATTTCATTTTTTTATAAAGCATTTATTAATGATGAATCTTTTATTTATTAATTTATTCACAGTTTATTTATAGAAGTACACATTCAACATATTTATAGACTGTATGATTAATTGCTTTATTCATGAATTTATTGATTCATTGCATTGTTAACCTATTAATTTAAAACTATAGTTAGACATTCACCAAATTTATGCACTGAATGATTCATTAACCTATTGATTTATTAATTTATTGGTTTATTGATTTATTGTTTTTTTTAATTATTGATTGATTTATTGATTTATTGATTTATTGATTTATTGATTTATTGGTTTATTGATTTATTGATTTATTTATTGATTGGTTCGTAGTATCTGGTATACTGATCAGCTCTGCAGCAACTATTAAGAAGATGAATGGAAACGGAGTAAAGAAGATGTGCAGGAACAAAACAAATATAAATAGAATAACATGCTCTTATTGGTCTTAATTATATACATTTTTACACATTAATATAAAACCACTTATTGGTCGAAAGTGCTAACAATAATAGAATACCCTGCTCTTATTGGTTTAAAGCTTAAACAACAATAAAATATCCTGCTCTTAGGATACCTTGCTCCTATTGGTCTAAGCTATGAACAGTCATAATACCCATCTTTCATTGGTCTGTATCATAAACAATAATAGAATAGCCTTCTCTCATTGGTTTGTAATTTAAGAAAAAAAGAAAGAATGCAATACGCTCATTGGTCTATCATATTACACATTGACACAATTGCTTTTATTGGTCTAAAGCATAAAAAATAACAGAATAGCCTAATCTTATTGCTCTGAAGTATGAACATTGAACTTTAAACAATAACAGAATATATTGCTCCTGTTGGTCCTCTATATAAAAAATGATAGAATACCGGTCTTTCATTGGCCTGTAATATAAATATTAAACAATAATAGAATACACTACTCTCATTGGTCTTTTGAAAAAATTTATTATGAACTCCGAAGTCCTTATTCTTCAACAAGTTTTATTATTTATATTTGATTTTCAAGGAATATATTTTCTGTTCAACAAACCCTGACTACTAGCGTAACAGGTTATTCCTTTGTACAACGTTGTACAGTGTACATAGCACTGTACAGATTTAAATTAGAATAAAGGGACTGTAAGCGTAATTTCAAGTGACCCTCAATGCAAAGATGGCAATGACCGATTTACAACGGTACCCTTAAAACCTTTTTTAGAATTGAATAATATTAAACCTAGAAAAACGACAATATCTTTCACAATATTGATCAGATAAAGATTTCAAGGGTACTATTGTGAGTCGGGCGTTGCTATCTCTGCAAGAAGGGTCACTTGAAATTATGCTGACAGTCGTTTTAATGCAGTGTCTTTAGTTACAAACTCTTCTTATCTGTTGCCAGATCTTTATATAAACAAATTCACATAAGTCAGAAATTTATTTTCTTCTTTTATTCCTCATGTCTTATTTTTCTAAAAATGTCGTATTTGTCCATTTTAAAACCATTTTCTAGGTCGGAGAGAAGTTGCACTGGACCAAGCTAAAACTTTCTATGAACTGGTTAATTTTACCCCAGGTAGAATAGTCCTTAGTGTTGTTGTTGTTTTTATTGTTATTATTATTGTTGTTGTTATTGTTGTCGTTTTTGTTTTTGTTATTGTTATTGTTGTGATTGTTTTTATTGTTGTTCTTGTTTTAATTGTTGTTGATATGGTTGTTATTTTTATTGTTGTTGTTTTTATTTTTGTTATTGTTGTTGTTGTTGTTGCTGTTTTATTGTTGATATTGTTGTTGTTGTTGTTTTTGTTGTTTTTATTGTTGTTGTTGTTGTAGAAGTCGTTGTGAATCAAACAAGCTATTCTGTAAAACAAGGATCACTTGAACTTACGTTTACTGTCCCTTTAATAGTAATAAGTACTCTAGGTGAGATGTTGACCCATATAGTGGAGAGAGGAGCAATGTTTTCCCAGCTAGATTATATTAATCTTCTTCAGCTTATTAATAGGTAGTATTTATTCATTCATTCTCATGTATTTATTCATTCATTCAGTATTCAGTCAGTCATCCCTCTATTCATTCATTCTTTTATTCATTTTCTTATTCATTCATTTAGTAACTATTTATTAAATATCTGCTAATTATCTGTAGGTCCCAGCCCCGACCTGACAATGAAGGGCTGAGTAAGAATATTGAGAAACTGTCAGAGATTCTCAACGGAGCCGGAGCAAGACCTGGAGTTGCGGTTTAACGGAGCAAGACCTGGAGTTGCGGTTTAACGAAGCTAGACCTGGAGTTGCGGTTTAATAGTTGCCAAGATTCACAGGGTTTCCAACAAAGGATGAGAATTCAAAGACGACTGTACGGAATGATACTGTCTGTTTCCTGATAATCATGATTCCCGCAAGTGCCAAATCGATAAATAGGTCATTAAAAGACTATTCAAGGCGGTAGACTAAATTTAACCTTGGACTTTTTATAATTTTACTTATAGTTTCAGGTCGTCCGTACAGTCTCATCCTTTGTGGGTCCCTCTGTACCTAAACCAACCAACTTTACAGGAATAACCTTCAAAAGAAGAGGCTTTAGAGACGACTGTAGAAATTAAAAGGGACAGTAAGCATAATTTTAAGTGACATTGCCTGATTCATAACTGGGCCCTTGAAAAAATTGTGGAAGATATTATCGTTCTTCCAGGTTTAAAAATGTTAAACTCTGATAATTCCTAAATGTTTTCCTGCAGAAGAAAAACGCAAGTCACTTTTATAGAGAAACCACAGTTGAAAATAATCAGTTTTTTAAATTATAAACATTGATATCTAATTCATACTTGTTCAGACAAAGCTTTTAAGGGTATCGGTGTAAATCGGGCATTGCCATCTTTGCATTGAGGGTCACTTGAAATTACGCTTACAGTCCCTTTAATTTAGTTTTTTTCAATCATGGTTCATTGCAACTTTATACTTCATTTCTTTCCTTGATATAAAATCTAATACATCATCAAAATCAAAATTTAATTGATTTATGTCGACATGCAAGTCTCATTCTTAGTGGGTATCCCTGTATCACTAGTTTTTACAATATTTATAACTCTACCAACCAGAAGAGATCTACTCAGTCAAAAAAAATATGATTTAAATTAAAATTTCTTTTATCTTATTTTTTTAAAGATTAAAACTCCAAAATAATATTTATGTTATTGTATTAAATTTATATTTTCAATATAAAGTTGTTTTTAATGTTGTTAAATTTGTATATGTATCTTTAGTATCAAACGAATGAAAAATGTATATTTTAAGAAAAATGTGAATCGGCTGAAAAATGCCCCAGTATTATGGAGGAGGATAGCTGTTTGGTGAGTTTTCAAATTAAAAATTAAATTTTCTAGATTTTTTATTCTTGATAATTTTAGGATCGATCAGTTAGTGAGATAGAGAGTAGTTTCTCAGAACATTTTCTGCCAGGGGACCCTTTACTAAATTTCATACAAGGTGGTCCAAAGTTGCCAGAAGATGTTCTCTCGGACCATGAAATTTGGTCCAAGGACGGACATCAAAAAGTGGAAATGTGTGGGGACGTTTTTACCGTGACAACCTCGGCAGAATCAACACCAAAAAATGTATTTTATACCAAAAATCCTCCAACGCTGATGAAAAGAGTAGAAAGTCCGGGAATAATTAATCCTGTAAAGTCTTACCCAGCCTCATCAATACTAAATGAACCGAGGTCACGATCCTCTAATACATCTTTAACCTCTAGTCTCCGACAAACCACGCGAGCCCAGTCTCAGTTCTCACGCGGATCAGCTGATGCTGGAAAATCCGGGAAAACGCTCCGGCGTACTCCCAGAGAAAATGTGGGAATAGGGTTATCAGCTGATCTTGATAAACCTGCTGCTCTATCTAGTTCTACAGCCTTGTCTCAGAAACAAGGTAGGCAAATTTAAAATAAAAAGTGGAATCTATTTTTTTAAAATATTTTGCCGAATTTTTATTATAACTTTTAGTTTCTATTCCCCCCCCCCACCCCCTTCTCTGTGCCCGCATCTGTACACTACACAAGTGCAGGTGTTTCTAATTAACTTTTTTAGTCTAACTTTGATAATACATTGTGTATATAAATAACCTTGGAGTCTAGCACACAGTGATACACTTTTAATAAAACGTCGGTTATTTTTTTTTTGGGGGGGGGGGGTTCTAAGTTCTTCTTTTTTATTTAGATTAGTGCTCATGTCTGAACTATTATTGATTTAATAGAATTAAATGGAATCTTAATTTACAAATTATATCTAACGGATTATTAAGTTCATTTTCAATTAGTTTAATTATATACATATAAATATATATATATCGATTAAGTACGATGAATAATTTTCCAGGATGAAAAATTATATTTAAAAAAGAAATCTATCAGGAATCTATCCCTGCATTTCTGGTTAAAAGTATTTAATTTTTTGAAGAAAATAATTTTTTAAATAAAGTTTTTTTCAGATGTATCTCCATCTTCAAAGAGCTGTCAGTCTAGTTCAATAAATACTGATGCTGGTGATAAAAGTGCCATAAGTGAACTAAACGATCTGTTTGTATCCGGCCTAGTTGAAAAAGCTTTAACTATATCTAGTCAAAAATTACAAAACTCCGCGCATTCCTTAGTTTCCAAATCAAAAAATCCGCGAGAATCACTGTGTACAGTGTACAGATCTCCAGTAATCTCACCGACTGAATCATTGAAATCTCCGAACAAATCTCTTTCCAGTTCAATCAAATCTCCTCTTATATCCTGCAGCTTGACGAGATCTGTAGACAAGTCTCCAGTTAAATCGTCTGCTGCGTGTTCACCGTTGAAATCTCTAAGTTGTACTGAGTACAAGGAGAATCTTGAACTAGACCAGCGAGTAGGTCAACCTCAGCTGGTTCATCAGCCCAGCTATAGGTACATTTTTCAAAGAAACTTATTACTCGCAGCAATCTAGAATTTTCTAATCCCTATATCTGTGCAACCTGATGGTGTGAATCTTTTATCTTTCAAACTATGACCACATTGATCTAGTAGACTTGATAACTTGATTAAATGTTATTATATGAGGTTGCAGAGATTTTAATATTAGAATAATTGATTGTATTACAAGTAATCAGTTCAAAAGAAGATAGCGGTCTGATCCATTTTAAAAATGATTATTTTAACACATTTATGTTTGGATCGTTTTTGATTCGGTTTCTGCATACATTTTCTGTCAGGGGCAAAATTTGTGTAAGTAGTGTAAGAAAAAATGTTGAAAAGATTTGCTCTTCTTTTTTTGATCCTGAATCACAGGAAGCCTCAGGGTAAAAAATAATTGGCAAAATGCTTATTGATTTGCCCCCTGCACAATGCACAACATTCAAAAATTTTAGATTTTCTAAACAGTATTATTTTTAAATTTAGAATTAGTTGATGGTAGATTTTTAGAATCAGATTATTTGTATAAAAAAATATGTTTAGTTTGAACAGCATAGAAAGTATTAAGAGTGATGAAACTTTTGCTGGCTCGACAGGTGTTTTATTATTATTATTATTACCATTACTATTAATTATTATTATTATTATTATTATTATTATATTATTATCATTATTATTATTATTATCATTATTATCATTATTATTATTATTAAGGATTATATGACAGCAGTATAGAACGGCAGGCAGCTGATTGTGTGCAGAAAATATTAGAAGAAAGAAACAACTTGTCAGAAAGTGACAACGTACTTAGCGACCTTCCCTCTGTCGGCTGCACAAGCGACATTCTTATTGCCAGAAGTGACGTCGATTACATAAGCGACAGTGATAATGTAGCCGCCTGGAAATGTGAGGCTGTCAGTGATGTGTTTATCGACTGTAGTTCTGAAAATGTTGTTGAAATTCAGGATTTTGCTTTTAATACAGAGAACTTCTTTTCAAGTGAGAATACTTTTCAACCAATAATTCCTGGTTCAGCTTCAGCTCCAGATACACTGGAGAGAGAAGATCAGGAGATCAGGTAATAAGAATATTTTTTTTTTTTGATTCTACACTTGTTCTTTAAACGCTACTTTTGTTCTTTGAACACTACTTTTGTTCTTTAAACACTACTTTTGTTCTCTAAACACTACTTTTGTTCTTTAAACACTACTTTTGTACTCTAAACTCTACTTTTGCTCTTTCAAGTAGTACTTTTGAACACTACTTTTGTTCTTTGAACACTACTTTTGTTCTTGAAACACTACTTTTGTTCTTTAAACACTACTTTTGTTCTTTAAACACTACTTTTGTTCTCTAAACACTACTTTTGTTNGTACCTTCTGAGGCATCTGGCATTAGCAGTACTTAAAATAATACTGTATTATCATTTTCATGAAAGGTACCGACAGGACCTTCATGCAACTGGTAAGTGTGCAGAGGGTTTGTGGCAGTACGCCATTAAACTTGACCCATGCTTGGTGGTACACACTTTGGCCTGTGTGGCCAACCATCAATGACACCCCGCTACTCCCTTTGGGGATGGTGCGGTGATGTGGGCTCTTCCCATAACTCTCTTCGGACAGATGGGTGACTGTTTTATTTATTTATTTGAACACTACTTTTGTTCTTTTTACACTATTTTTGTTCTTTAAACACTACTTTTGTTCTCTAAACACTAATTTTGCTCTTTAAACACTACCAATGTTCTTTGAACACTACTTTTGTTCTCTAAACACTACTTTTGCTCTTTGAACACTACTTTGTTCTTTGAACACAACTTTTGTTCTCTAAACACTACTCTTATTCTTTAAACACTACTTTGTTCTTTGAACACTACTTTTGTTCTTTAAACACTACTATGTTCTTTGAACACTACTTTGTTCTTTGAACACTACTTTTGTTCTCTCAAGCATTACTTTTGTTCTTTAAACACTACTTTTGTTCTCTAAACACTACTTTTGTTCTCTAAACACTACTTTTGTTCTTTAAACACTACTTTGTTCTTTGAACACTACTTTTGTTCTCTAAACACTACTCTTGCTCTTTAAACACTACTTTGTTCTTTGAACACTACGTTTGTTCTCTAAACACTACCTTTTGTTCTATAAACACTATTTTTCATCTCTAAACTATACTTTTGTTCTCTCAAGCAGTACTTTTGTTCTTTGAACACTACTTCTTTGAACACTACTTTCGTTCTCTTAACACTACTTATGTTCTCTAAACACTACTCTTGTTGTTTGAACACTACTTATGTTCTTTTTACACTATTTTTGTTCTTTACTCACTATATTTGTTCTCTAAACACTACTTTTTCTCTTTAAACACTACTAATGTTCTTTGAACACTACTTTTGTTCTTTAAACACTACTTTTGTTCTCTAAACACTACTTTTGCTCTTTATACACTACTAATGTTCTTTGAACACCACTTTTGTTCTTTAAACACTACTTTTACAAAACATATTTTGACTATTATTTATTCATTTTTCGCAGGAACTATTTATCTGTGATAGAGGAGGCTACAGAGCAATCCAGTTTATCTTCACAATCCATAGACCCCCGTCCTATTCCTTCACAATCCATAGACCCCTGTCCCATTCCTTCACAATCCATAAAGTTACAAAAACTGGGATCACAATCCATAAAACAGACTGAACACCATCTGTCTCCACCAGGTTCCAAATCCAATCTAGTAACCGGATCCCTTAAGTCCGGATCCATAAAGTCCGGATCACAAAAGTCCCAACTGTTACCAAGTGAATCAAGAACTAAGTCCAAGAATCCAGTTCGTCAGTTTTCCACAACTTTATCTCAAGATTTCGACCTCGACTGTGCAGGTATTTAGCATCATTTTTAAACAATTTTTCAAAGATTTTTTGTAAAAAATCCTAAAAAATTTTGTAAATTTAAAAATAAAGATTTTTATAACAAATCCTAAAAAAAATTGTAAATTTAAAAATAAAGATAAACCTTTTTTTAACATCTAAATGTTTATTTTCGATGTTATGGTTGGTGAGGGAGGGGATGCAGGGTCGCCATGAACCCCGCTTAATAGTCTCCAAGTCTCCGTATTCGCAGATGAGTATTTCAAATGACCTGGCGCGTAAACGTTAGAAGAATAGATACAAAGAGAATAGAATATATATTAGAGTGGAATTTCCTAGAAAAAATGTAAAAAGTGTTGTACTGTTTCCATACTGCAGGTGTACTTCACATATTTGCGCTATATAACCTTTTGGGCCCTGGAACATAATTTTATAGAAAATCTAAAATTAATATTAAAAGAAAACCAAATTATGAAATAGGCTGGTTTCATAACTGACCAATGATCATTTCACATAGACTCTATGCCTTTCACTTTACAAACGATGATTTTCCGTTATAACTATAAATCAAATAATGTTTTTTTATTCACCTAATTCATTTTATAAAGTTTGTTTAACAGCTTTTAAAAATTTGAACTTGAAATGGATAGTCTAGGGAACATTCTGTATTAATGTACTCTACTGCATATAATTTGTGAACATTTACATGATTTGTACACTTTGAACTCCCTTTCAGGCTGAAAAGGACTGACAAAATTCATACCGAGGGATTGTCTAAATTCCACTCTAATATATATTCTATTCTCTTTGAATAGATACTATAGAAGTAATAAATAACATTTTTTAGAGCAAAAATATTTAATCTTTAAATAAATATGCAGTGTTTTCTCAAATATCCAAAAACATAGCAATACTATTATAAATTAAATATTTTTTTATTTATACATTATTCTAAAGGATAGGGGTAGCACCAGGTCATTTTAAATACTCAACTGTGAATTCAGAGGCTTGGAGACCATTTCGCGTGGCTCAGGGTGGCCCTGCACCCCTTCCCTAGTTTGACATATTTACAGACAGATTAATATTAAAACATTGTTTTATTATTGTTTACGAGTTTAACATGTATAAATAAGGTACATTGTAGAATTTCATGTAATTTAAATTTTAGCTTTGAATCTTAATGTTAATTTATCATAGTTTTGCTTTCTTTTACTTTTGTACTTAAAAGTATTAAGTTATGTAACATGAAGACCACGGGGTTCGTCCGAATTTTGTAACAACTACGGATTGAGATTTTTATATCTTTTGCTGGAATTTTTAATATGTTTTAGACCTGCAGTATTTTTTGATAAACAAATTGACTCAATATTTAACCCTCTAAAAATTATGAACAGTGAATTATTCTTTTAATTTAATAATTTTCCTATTATTTGTATTATTTGTAGTCGGATATTATTTGTTGTCGGATATTATTTGTTGTCGGATATTATTTGTTGTCGGATATTATTTGTTGTCGGATATTATTTGTTGTCGGATATTATTTGTTGTCGAATATTATTTGTTTTCGGATATTATTTGTTTTCGGATATTTTTTGTATTTGGATATTATTTGTTGTCGGATATTATTTGTATTTGGATATTATTTGTTGTCGGATATTATTTGTTTTCGGATATAATTTGTTTTCGGATATTGTTTGTATTTGGATATTATTTGTTGTCGGATATTATTTGTATTTGGATATTATTTGTTGTCGGATATTATTTGTTTTCGGATATAATTTGTTTTCGGATATTGTTTGTATTTGGATATTATTTGTTGTCGGATATTATTTGTATTTGGATATTTTTTGTTGTCGGATAATACTTGTAGTCGGATAATGAGTTAATAAAAATATTTAGTTCCGATAATGAGACAAGAAAACTTTGACGAACAAACTGAACAAGATGTTAAAGTGTTGCGTCCTGTTCATGAACCTGAACCTGATGTTCATGCACGAGCTGAGAGATCTGTTCATGAAACTGAACCTGATGTTCATGAACGAGCTGAGAGATCTGTTCATAAACCTGAACCTTATGTTCATGAACGAGGTGGGAGATCTGTTCATAAACCAAGGATCCTGAACTCTCCAAGGGATGTAAACAATCCCTCTAGACGGCAGATGCAAAAGTTTGGGTGAGATTAAAGGGACTGTAAGCGTAATTTCAAGTGACCCTCCATGCAATGATGGCATTGCCCGATTTACAACAGTACCCTTGAAACCTTTATCTGATCAAAAAAATGTGAAAGTTTACGTATTTTATGACACGAAAAGTGTTTATTTTTGTGAATTTCTCGATTTCTTCTTATTAGCAGAAAAGCCGCAAATGAAAAAAACGTCTAAATGGACACAAACATTAATAACTAATTCACACTTGATGGGTACTCTTGTAAATCGGGCATTGCCATCTTTGAATGGAGACTCACTGGAAGTAACACGTACAGTCCCTTTAAAAACAAAAAAAACATCATTTCTAGATTTCAGATTATTAAATCTTTTTTTTCTGACTCTTCTTTTTGTCTACTTTGATTTTAGCCAAAAGGCCGAGAAGTGATGAAATTAATCAATCTATTTAAACTAAAAAACCTACACTCTGAAATCTTCTTTTTAAAATAAAAAACTGATTTAAATAATAAAGTGAGATCCATGAAATTGTGGAATAGGAAGACGACATTTAATCAATCTTTTGTATATTTGATATTGTCATAAAGTAACTAGTTTTTACCAGTAGCTTGTAAATCAACTTAGTTTTTCAAATGGGTCTGTGTAAAGTCATACTTGATGTCTTTCATTTAACTCTTCTCAAAATTTAAAGTCTAATGTTCATATAAATTAAATATATAAATTTTAATAATAAAATAAAATATAAATAAAATAAAATTGTTCATTAAAAGTGGCTTGTTTACAATTTGCATACAAAAGGCCGAATAAAGACCTGAGCATTTTTAAAAGGAGTATTCGCGAAAAATAAAAGAGGGTATAGGCTGAATCCAAATTAAATTTGAATTCGATCGCTGGTTATTTTACTTATAGCTATAGCTAATGCTAAGAGCGGAGCTTCATAGTACATTATCTATTGCTAATGCTAAGAGTGGAGAGTCCATGTACATTATCTATAGCTAATGCTAGGAGTTGAGAGTCCATGTACATTATCTATAGCTAATGCTAAGAGCGGAGAGTCCATGTACATTATCTATAGCTAATGCTAAGAGCGGAGAGTCCATGTACAAAATTCGTTATAAAACGTACCCCCGAAATCATTTAATTAATACCGAGCATTAAAATATTTTAACTGATTAATCCTTCACCCCTTTCCATTATTTGCTAACACTTACAGAAAATATATTTCCACCGAACTTCAGTGCACTTTTCTAATAGAAAATAATATAAAATATGGGTTGGATTGATCTTATAAGTTTCTTTTTGTTTAGATCTTTGATTGAATCTCTTCCTTCTAGATCAAACCCTTCAACTCCTAGGTTAGCTTATATAAATATATAAATATTTATATTTATAATTTTACCATAAACTCAAATTTTTTAATCCTTATTATTTCAAACTTGATAATTTGATTTAACATATTTCATAGTTTGAAATATCTAATGCCTTCGACACTGTGATACAAAGATAAAGGGATTAGAAAATCCGAGTTTGTGGCAAAGACTCCTTTCTTATTCAAACCTTCTTTCTTATTCAAACCTTGAAGTTTAGATTTTTGAGAAAAATCACGTCAAGTTTTTGCACTTAAATAATTTTGTTTTTTTTTAATTCGATTTTGTAATTTTCTATTTTATCATTTTTTATTAGGGATTCAGACTCTGAGCGCTCTGAAATAAAGCCCCGGTTTATTCAGAACAAATCTCGAGTTCAGTCCAACAAACGATATATTCGATCCTCTCCGCCCAGGGAGACAACTCAGAAACCGGTTCCGGGCAAAACCGGTTCTCCCGTGGAGAAAACTGGTTTGCACGATGATTCTTTCCTGTACAACACACCGATACAGACTAGAACCGGTCTTACGCTTACACAGACCAACAAGGACAAGGGACGTATGTACCGTAGTGCAAGTTCAGCCGAGATTGAGAAATCCGGGAAAGTTGGGACTTTAAACCGAAAATCCGCCAAATTGGACCGTTCTAAATCAGTCAGCAGTTCATCTATTCATCAATCAAAATCCTCTAGTAGTAATTCCATTCTCCAAACCAAATCCGCCAGCAATTCATCCATATTTAAATCAAGGAAACGCCAGTTTAAAAAATATATTTACCAATGTTTTATTACTCTCAGTATTATAATTATTAGAAGTATTATTATTATTATTATTATGATGATGATAATCATTATCGCTATAATTATTATTATTGATAATATTCTGGTGTGAGTACAGAAAACCGGATTTCAGTCACGTGGAGTCGAAGGTCAAACAGTACATCCAGACAGTAAGCCAGCAAATATATAATATATAATATATAATATATAATATAATTATGATTATGTTTATTAGGACGGGGGTAACCTTCAGACAAGGTTGGAGGAGAAGTTTCGTCCAAACTTTACATTATCTAACAAGTCTAAAAGTTGTGGAAACCTTTCTCCTTCAAAATCAGGTGAAAATCATTTTTAACATTTTAAAACATTTCATATTGAAATATTTTCTAAGTTAGTCGGGGTGATACAGAAAGCCCGAAAACCATAGTATTAATATCTTACCAAGATTTCGTGAACACTCCCTTTAAATCTTGATATTTGTAGTTGTATGCCTGGTTGGATCTAACCCCAAGAACTCCCTGACATCCCTTACCTTGAAGTCCTACCCTAGCTGCTGTAACCTGGAGGACCGAGGTCAGAGGTCAAGGTCAGAACCCCCGGAGGACAACAAGCTAGGATCCCAGTCCAAATCCAACCCCAACCTCTCCCAGCAGCTGTGTGTGAGAACCAACCTCTCAAAGTCCGCCATCTCCCTCGGGGTGCGGGACTTCGACACCATCTTCGACCCTGAAGATTCAGATTACGAGACGAAGGCGAGGTATTTCTCCAGGGATGGGTTGGACGAAATTGTTATCGAACCTGAAGATCTTCTTCATATGGTGTTCCAGGTAGAATCACTTCACTTAGAAATATATTAGGATTTCCCCAGTTTCTTCTTTAAATCTCCAGCCATATATACACCATAATTTGCAGCTTTAAAATCTTTATAATCTTCAATCTTCATAATCATAGGGCAGCATTCATCTAGGTTTAATTTACATCCATTACACCCAAAGGAATCCCATTCGCCAACATTTAAATTAAAAAAATCTACTCCAAACAGTAACTAATTCCAAAAATCTGCCATAAATAGTATCTTTGTCCATAAAAGTATCATAGTTCATGAAATCTATCACAAACTAAATTCATACACCAGCCAAAAAATCTCCAGATGAACCACAAATTTAAGATTGAGGATTTGCGACACTTTAAAGTCGGTTTGATCTAAATAGTTAAGCCTAATTTTATAGCTGTGCAAAAACAAACTTTATTTGGAGAGAATTCCATCTCCTTCAGGACCTTAAGCGATAAAATCTTGTTAATTCCCTTTTTTTAACAATTCATTCTGAGCTGGGAACTTTTGAATGGTGGATATCGAGATTAATGCTTAATCCTCTCTTTTTGCTAATCTCGAGACTAACATAATCTCGAGATTATGTTAGTCTTGAGATTAAATATTTAGATCAACAAATTTGATTCTAGGAACGCCAGATTTGTTGGTTTTCTTGACTGGAAGGGCTTTTATTTATTTTCTCACCCATTTATTTATTAATACATTAGTTAAACTTGGTTAAAAAAGAATCTCAAACGTATTATCAAATATTTTTCTTCGCCGATAAAAAATGGCCGACAGCATATTCTTTATTTGTTTGAAATTGCGGATTTCTCTAATATAATAGAATTTATTTTCAAGGCTGTCATTGGTCAATACAATTTACGAACTATATTCCTGTACTCTCATTGGAGAAAAAAAAGAGTGGATTAAGGACTAAAATGAAAAGTTTCCACAGTGGATATTCAGATTAAGTAGTTGGGATTAAAGGTTATCCATTCTAAAGTTCCCAGCTCTTGATGTACAATTCTTTTTGCCTTTCATAATACTTAAAACTGACATTTGTGTTGTAAATCGATCTTGTAGTTTTTAAGAACTATTATGAAACTATTGTGTACTTTATCATTCTTCCTCACTTCATCGTGAAATTCATAATAAACGTGCTATAAAGAAATCATCGTGCTATAGAGATAAATTAACTGTACATTATAGCACGTGTGCTATAATGTTTTGATTGGTTCCCGGTTTTTCTCCAAAAAATTTAGGATATTTCCAAAATAATTTTTTTTTTCAATTGAAAATAATATAAAATTTAAATCTACTTTATTTTTTTACTTCTGCTTTGTGTCAAAGCTTATTTGATCTATAAAAATAGCCATTGAAATAAGACAAGTACACGAACGTATCAAAATTACCTATAACACTATAATTATGGCACAACGTTCTATGAAGTTTTTGGACTTAAATTTTCTCTATATCTCGAAGGTTCTCGCCAATTTAGATTATATTTTGTCCCTCGCTAAAATAATTAAATTTAAAAAGATAAAGAGAAAATTTCTGACCAAAAACTTTATAACACTGCGAACCAAAATAACAGTGTAACAAATAGTTAATAACAAAAATTCCAAGATTTTTGTTAAACTTTGCAATATTTGCACAATGAAAAAGTGGGAAAATGTTTCAATAATGATCTTTATAATTCTAACATGTTTGTTTTTTAATTCGTTTGGTTAGTTTTTGGCATAAAATTTCTGTCAAGGTAGAAATTCGGTATTGTGTGAGAACAACACGTGTTTAAATCAAGCAATTTAGATTTGCAATGTCAAATTTGGACCCTGAAAGAAAATATTGACAAAAAACTAAGCAAAAACGTCTGATGTAATTGATAATGTATTGAGGGGCTAAATTTTTTATTCATTTATTTCTATTTTGAAAAAAACAGTTATTTATTTTTTTCGTCTTTCGTTTCATACTTTTTTATTTGCAAATTTTATAGGGAAAATTTTATCTTTACCGGTCATAAACCACCAGTGGCCATGTAACTTTGGGCATCTTTATGTCAGCAATCAAGTGAAATAAATATGACAAAAATAAAAGAATTGATTTCAATGATGTATGTTAAGGAGAGAAAGGGAAAACAGGAGGCAAAGAAGGTTCTGGACGAGTTAAAATCAAATTACGAAAATCTTCTACAAAAGTTCGCCGCCGCCGAAAACGCTTTAGACGTGGTGCGCTTCGGCGGTCAACCACCGCCTGTCGATGAAAGCCGAGAGCAGACATTTCGGCTGGCCGACGATTTTGCCGATAGAATCGGTCAGTTTAAGGTTGAAGAGTCGGATTTATCCTTGATAGAGTCCAGAAATATGAAGATTAGAACCTCCACATCTCAATCAGGTGAAAATAATCAAAAAAAAATGTACAACAATTTTTTTTATTTCTATTTTTCTATAAAGAGACTATTGTTGTAATTTCAAGCAGCCTTCAATTCAAAAAAAGGCCAATCAACTCCAGTGTTTTGTGCAGCCAAATTATAAAGAAACACCAATTAAAATATTCAAATTTCAAAAGGAGAAACATTGAAAGTTTATTCATTCTCGGCCAGATAAAGCTTTCAAGGGTATCTGTGCGAATCGGACATTCCACTCTGCCTACAGAGAGTAACTTGAAATTACGTTTACAGTCCCTTTAATGCTGACTTCACAACTTAGATATCACACTTCTTTTGTTGAGATGACCCCCCCCCCCTGTTAAGTCCGGTTCAATTATAGAACCGGACCGACATCTATCCAGCTAGAGCGAGCTGTACAGTACACATACAGATTATGCCAGGCAATAGGAACAGTACGCCAAATGAATCAGCCCCTTCTAGGTATATTCTAGTGCTTTTGTCATAAATGGTTGATTGATAGAAGGGTGTATACAGGTCACAGGATGGGGCAAAGCGAGCAGTTTCCCCCTCAAAGCTTGAAATTGTATATTTCCAGGTGAAGGCGGAGGAGATAACACGCAGGTCAGCTTGAATATGACAGAGGTTCAAAGAACAGCGCTAGAAATATTAAACAAGGTGAGAATGAGATATAAATCATTTGATCATTAATAATGAATAAGATATTCATGTGTTACACGTTAAAAATTGATTTGTTTAATTTTGAGTTCTCTATAAACTAGAAGTGACTCTCGGATCTCTGCTACAGAAACAAAGGATGAAATTTTCAGAGCTGACCGTCATGCTAGACAAGCAATGATATCTTTCACATTCTGTATCACTGAAAGGAATATAGGGTACCGTTGTAAATCGGGTATGTCCCTCTGATCAAATTTATGGTTACTATACAAATTTACAAATTTGCAACTACCATCCTTTTAAAAGGATGTAGTATTGTGAGTTGTTTTGATACAATAATATCAGACATTAGGATGGAGGGGGGGGGGGTGATTACAGATTTAAAAACAGTATTAATTCTGAGCTGGGCAGGCGCAGATCCAGGGGGGTGGGTCAAGGGGTCGACGACCGCCCCTTTTTAAAAATGGGGGGGTCAAGAGTATGCAAGTTCTTTCTGTTTTTGAAAAAAGAAGAGTAAAAGGATATTTAAGTTTTTCATGTTTAGTTTGTGTATATACATGTAGTCTCGTATAGTTATCTCAGGTTGCAGTATTGATTCTAGGTTCAATTCAAGCATTGTATTCAGTATCCTTTATCTTGGTATGTTGTATCCTGTATCCATTATCTTATATCTTGTTTCCTGTATCCATTATCTTATATCCTGTATCTATTTTCTTGTATCACTTATTCATTATCTTTTATCCTGTATCTATTATCTTGTATCTAATATAATTTTTTTATTTTGTATCCAGTATCTTGTATCCTACAGTATCCTTTATTACTATCTTGTATCCTGTGAATCCTGTAGTCATTGTTTTGTAATCCTCAGTTTAAATGTCAGATTCACAATAGTATCCTTAGCTTACCACCTTTTATCGAAATTAAAACGGGTAAAACTAAGATATCCTAGTTTTTCTGTCTTAAATATGAATAATTAATTTAAAATAGAAAAACGGGATGACTCCTCAGACATGATTACCGTGGAGAATCGGATTCGGAACTTTAAATGGAGGGTCACTTGTAATCAACATAAAAAGATTTTAAAATCATTAGTCTTACGGCGCTAATAATTCAAGTTATACGAGTGTTGCCCGTAAACCTTCCCAATCACTTCTTTTGACGCATTTTGTAATAATTTGGGTCTTTTAAAAAGTATACTTTATATGAGTTTATTTAAAAAAAGGTTTCAAAATCTTGAAATTGATGGATGTTAGGGAGTAGTTAAATTAGATTATGGTCATCACTCATGGCATTTTGTAATATTGCCTTGTATAAATATCTTTATGTGAGGAGGGGGGGAGTGCAGAAGTCCTCAATGGGTAATCACCGCTACCCAAACGTGCTTTGTGGCATGCACGCTCCTCAATTGGTAATCTAAATAAAAACTAAAGGTCTCTAAATCTTGAAATTGATGGATGTTAGATAGTGGGTTGATTAACCAATGCTCACTTCTAATGGTATTTTGTAATAAAGTCTTGTAAAAATATTATTTAGCGTATGTTCACCAGGTCCAGTGACGCATTTTATATTTGTTTGACGCATTTTGAAGTATCGATCCGTCTACAGCATATTCATGGTATTTTCTAATATCTTAAATATTGATTTTCCTCCTGGTCCCTGATCTTGTCATCTCCTAGCTACAGATTAATGCAGAATATCACGCGATACTATGGGATACAGGGTTTCTCACCAACACATGAGTATTCAGGTCGTCTTCAATCTACGCGGCATTAATTCGTAAAAAAAACATGTCTATTAAATTTCGGAACTTTCGTTCTCCGATTTGAGATTTATAAAAAAATTAAATATTCTTTATTCATGCCTAAACTTGGGTCTCCGTCATTCGTTTTCTTCTGTTCTTGTTAAAATTAATTTATTTCTCTGGTTCATCCCTTAATTCCCCCTTAGATTTATCTTGCATTAAAGGGACTGTGTGCCCTGGTTCATCCCTTAATTCCCCCTTAGATTTATCTTGCATTAAAGGGACTGTGTGCCCTGGTTCATCCCTTAATTCCCTCTTAGATTTATCTTGCATTAAAGGGACTGTGTGCCCTGGTTCATCCCTTAATTCCCCCTTAGATTTATCTTGCATTAAAGGGACTGTGTGCCCTGGTTCATCCCTTAATTCCCCCTTAGATTTATCTTGCATTAAAGGGACTGTGTGCCCTGGTTCATCCCTTAATTCCCTCTTAGATTTATCTTGCATTAAAGGGACTGTGTGCCCTGGTTCATCCCTTAATTCCCCCTTAGATTTATCTTGCATTAAAGGTACTGTGTGCCCTGGTTCATCCCTTAATTCCGTCTTAGATTTAATCTCGCATTAAAGGGACTGTGTGCTCTGATTCATCCCTTGATTCCCCCTGAGATTTAATCTTGCATTAAAGGGACTGTGTGCTCTGATTCATCCCTTAATTCCGTCTTAGATTTAATCTTGCATTAAAGGGACCCTGTGCCCTGATTCATTCCTTGATTCCCCACCTTAGATTCATTCTTGCATTAAAGGGGCTGTGTGCCAGCAGAGGTTTTTGAGATTAATTCGGGTTTACGGGACTGTTTACAAAAGTTACTTTCTGTCTCAATACATGATCTACGTGATATTATATTATCTATCTATCTCTCTATACTTCTATCTCGTTTTCATCTTATCTTTTCATCTATTTATCCATCAATATATCTCATATTAATCCATCTATCTAGTTTTACTTGTCATATAACCTTTCTATGTATATGTATATTCATCTATCTATCTATGTATCTATATTTTTATCTATCTATCTATCTAAATTTAATTATCTCTCAAAGAATTTTTGTCTCAGTATCCTTTAATCTTCTTCAGGGGAAATTAATTTTATTCGATAGAAATATTTTTTATACATAAATACAAAGATACAGACAGTGTGTGGGTATAGATCAACAAACGTAAATAAAAAGTGTGCTTAATTGAACTGTAAATGTACGGTACAGTACACTGTACACTTTACAGAGCGTAAGACTAGAGAATAGAGAACGAAGGGGAGTACTAGCAGTACATTAAACTGTTTGATGGGGTCTCGGCCTTGATTTCCACGAAATAATGGTTGGTCTTTTATTTATTTATTTATTTATTTATTTATTTATGAACTGTACACTGTACATGGTATACAACTAGAGATGGGAGAACAGAGTGGAGTATTAGGAGTACATTAAACAGTATAGAGTATACAACTAGAGGTTGGAGTACAGAGTGGAGTACTATGAGTACATTAAACTGTACATTGTACACTTTATAGAGTATACAACTAGAGGTCGGAGTGCAGAGTTGAGTACTATGAGTACATTAAACTATTCAGGGTATACAACTTGAGATGGGAGTACGGAGTGGAGTACTATGAGTACATTGAACTGTATATGACTGTAAACTATATGTACTGTTCAGGGTATACAACTAGAGATGGGAGTACGAAGTGGAGTACTAGTAGTACATGAAGGACTACAAGGAGTACAAGATCTTAGTTCTTCTTTAGACTTCATTCTTCACAATAAGGTTAATATATAATGTATATATTATCAATATATTTTTTAATCGAATTAAATAAAATTTTAAGACAGTAAAGTTATTTTTAAGGCAGTTCGTCCTAATTTCTTCGAAAATCCTTAATTATTTGTCGCCCATGTAAATTGTAAATTTAATCATTTTAAAAAATTGTACAATGCTGATACAATCAACTAATTAAGAATATAATTACTAGCTGGAGGATCTAATTAACTAATTAAGAATATAATTACTAGCTGGAGGATCTAATTAACTAATTACAAAAATATAATTAGTAGCTGGAGGATCTAATTAACTAATTAAGAATATAATCACTAGCTGGAGGATCTAATTAACTAATTAAAAAGTATAATATTACTAGCTGGAGGATCTAATTAACTATTTAAAAAGTATAATATTACTAGCTGGAGGATCTAATTACCTAATTAAAAAGTATAATATTACTAGTTGGAGGATCTAGAAACTAGAGATCTACTGCTGGAAGCTGCCAGAAAACTGGATGAAATTAAACTCTACCTCACACATCAATCCTTAATCTTAAACCAATCAATCAATCCATCCTCCACTTCAAATCAATCAAAACAAGAAACTGATCGAAACAGAAACTCTCAATTCAGCGATGAACAACATAAAGATGATTCCACCAGAATTATTCATACTGAGGATGAACCAAAGACCTGTAAAGAGGAGATCATTGGCCCGTATGGAGATACAGATCAAAGAGTTGAAGGCCTAAACCAGGCTCATCAGGATTACAGAATTGAAGAAGAAACGATTAAAAATGGATTCTCTAAAAATATAACAAAAGGTAAATATTATGATGAGATGATAAGTAAATATTTTCAGACAGTTGAATCTTGATATATATAAAGAAGTTAGTTCTGTTTGTCTGTCTGAATTCGGTAGAAATAACAAATGTTAGCTTGGTTTGAAAATTTCAGTATAGTTGGTTGACTTGTAGAGAAAGTTTACTTTCCGGGCAAAGCTGGATTCCCAAGCTGGTAAATGATTAAAATGTTACTTGTACAGTATATCTCTCTACAACTGTGTGTACATAATACTTTACTTGTACATATCCTGTCTCCTGCATTCAAGATTACATTGGACTTTTACTGAACTCTTCTTATTCAAAAGATCTCGGCTCTATAACAAAAGAATAACAATATTGCTGAGTTCTTCGCCTGTGCCTACAGCTTGACCCATTAAACTGTGTAATAGAAAGACGACTGTTGGACTCAAGTTATGACTTTAAATAGCCAAATAATACGAAACATGTCATTTGTGCAGTGCATACAGGCCTAACTAACTATTTTATTTAAAAAGTTGATTCTCATTCAACTGATTATAACCTCATCAAATCCGCAAACAAGTGCTTAAAAGTCCTCTTCATATTATTGTTTCAGCTGACAAGAGTAGATGTCCAGCTCCTTTGATGGAAGTTATAGAGAAGGTTGAGAGATGGAGGAAGAATATTCCTGGTCCTAGTTACTATAGTAGTCTTCCATCTAGTCCTACTCCATCCCAGGTAGTCACTTAACAAGTCATCCATCTAGTCCTACCCCATCCCAGGTAATCACTCAACAAGTCTTCCATCTAGTCCTACCCCATCCCAGGTAGTCACTTAACAAGTCTTCCATCTAATCCTACCCCATCCCAGGTAGTCACTTAACAAGTGTTCCATCTAGTCCTACCCCATCCCAGGTAATCACTTAACAAGTCTTGGTACAGTGAGAATCAGAATACTGTGAAGTAGGAAGATGATAGTGTTAATAGTGTAATGTACATAAACTAATTCCCTCAAGTTAGGATTTGAAATATCCTAATGAACATAAAACACAGCAATAAAGTAATGTTCATAAACTAATTCCCTCAAGTTAGGATTTGAAATATCCTAATGAACATAAAACACAGCAATAGTGTAATGTTCATAAACTAATTCCCTCAAGTTAAGATTTGAAATATCCTAAAACACAGCAATAGTGTAATGTTCATAAACTAATTCCCTCAAGTTAGGATTTGAAATATCCTAATGAACATAAAACACAATAATAGTGTAATGAACATAAACTTATTCCCTCAAGTTAGTTTTTAAAGCTACAGGTAAACCTACATGCTTTAGAACAACATCAATATCATATAAGATTTATTAAATGTTGTCTTCCCAATCTACAGTTTTATGAGTCTCACTGTAAGACAGAAAGGCCAAATAAGAAAAAAAAAATAATCTATGAAAAAATTTAAAAAAAAACGTCAAAAAATAAAAAAAAGAAAAATGTCAAGGAAGAGAAAAAATAAAAACTCTACCAAAAGAAAAAAATAAATGTCCCTTATTTTTTATTTTTAATCTTGATTCACTGGATATTCGAAATTATTGAATATAATATACTCTGTATATTAATGTGATATATGCAACTATATGAATATCATGACAACAATCGGAAATTTTCTTATATACTCCGCCAGGAGTCCTGAAAATAATCCTAACATAAACATAAACATAAACATTAAAAAGCGAAATTGATGTCCCCTTTCATTTTATTTATATCCTAGTTATATATTTTATTTATCCAGGATATCCCTGGTGTATCCAGTAGAGTGTGTCCCCCTGTATCCAGTTCTCCCCTGGACCATATACAATCTAGTCCTCTGGACCTGGACTCAGGATGTCCGGGTAGTGATAGGTCCACTCTGTGGACCTCTACCCTTCAACATCGAGGACTCAGTCCCAAATCTAAGGTATTTCAAAACCAAACAAAGTGCACAGACTTAAACAAGCTCTTCAATTATCAATTAATTTTATGTTTTCAGGAAAATTTGTACATTTTAGTAATTTAAAAATTACGATTAAAGCTGTTATTGTAATTTTTAACATGAAAAAAGTTTTCCAAAAATATTTATTTCAGTATTTTTGTTCTTGTTTGATATTAGGTGTAACTGAACGAATTGTTTAGGCATGTGATTTCCAAAAACAAAGGAGTATTCAGATTGAGGATCACTTGAAGTTACGCTTACAGTCCCTTTAACTGTTATTGACTATCTAGGTTGGGTCTAGGGAGAATGTAGGAACCCCCCTGTACAATGTTGTCGAGGAGGAAGGAATTTCAAAGCTCTCTGGGTCAGCTCAAACCACACACAGGTACTTACTCAAACCAACCCACCTGGAAATATTGAAGAGAAAACTTAAAATCGAGCCCCGTCAACTGCAAAATCAAAAATCTGATGAATAGAGCCATACTGATGGGTCCTAATAGGACGAAACACTGTGTCTATGGAAACAAATATATGTATATTATATATTCAAGGTCTGCTGTATGTTCGTTGTCTGATGTATCCCATCAAAGTCCAACCTGGGACCAACTTAATTCTCAAGGTCGTAAAATCCCATCAGAGCTCAGGACTGAAGTCATCTTCCAACCCCAGCAACCAGCCAACCAGTCTGCAGAGAAACTTGGTTCTAAAAACCAATCTGAACTAATCTCTCCAAATCGAATTCTCAGTCTGGATAACCGGTTTATCTCCTCGGTTATAATTGAACGGGGCATTAAACTGTCTCCACGTGCAGCTGAACAGGCGAAACAATTAAAATATTCCGGTCTTTCTTCTAACTCCGAGCAAGGATGGAAGCAGGGAGGGTTGAGTAAGGAAACCTATTCAGGTTTTGAGAAATCATTGACTGTTAAGCAGACAAGTACCCCCAACCGGAAGTTGTGCATGAAAAGATCAACCGCCATGTTTGATTTGAAATCCGCCAACAATCCTGATCTGAATTCTCCCGAACCCGAGCTCTATCTCACAGATCTAACCACGGACGAGGCTGATAAGGTTCTCGGACTCTCAGAGGACGATCAAAGCGGATTCGGGCTCTCGGAGGCTGATCTGAACATAGTTCCTCCAAACCATCTCTCAGTACAGGAACAGTTTAGTCTTCTGCTCTCTACTCCGAAGAAGAAAACACCTAGTCATAAGGCCAGGATGGATCCTGAGTATCCGGAGAGGGGTGGATACAAGATTAGGACGGATCCTGAGTATCCAGAAGGGAGTGGATATAAGAACGTCCTGGCTGAGCAGATTGATAACGAGATCTTAGAGTTGCGGAGTTTCTTCGACGATCACAGAGAAGAGATGATGAGTATGCTCCAAGGTCCACAGGAGCAGTACAGTAGAACCCAGAGGAGGGGCGGAGACAGGGAAGAGAGGATTTCAAGCTCTGGGTCAAATATAAACACTAAAGATCTATACAGGTAATCATGATACTAGTGTATTTTATACAGTGAGAACTCTGGAATAGGAAGACGACTTTTAGACTCAAGTTATGACCTGTAATATGCCATTGGACATGAGTGGCCCATTTCACTTGATAATCGATATATTAAATTACCAGTAAAACTATATGCTTTGAAAAATATAAAATGCACTTAATTATGGCTGAAATGTCGTCTTCCTACAGTTTTCTGGTTCCCAGTCCCATTGTATCAAGATCAAAGCCAGGAACGATTTTCTTAGCCTTTTTCACTAGATCCTCAATCTGGTTCTCAAGTTTGTAGTATTAACTAGATTTGGACAATTTTATTCGTTATAATAGTTAGTTTTTACCTTTTCTTTATTATATACACATTTCTTAATTTTTAATAAAATGTTGACTCGGAAATCTTACAAAAGAATTATAGCAGTTTTTTTTAAGAAGTCTTCCCTACTCAACACGATTCTCCGGTTTGGAGTCTAGATCTAGTCCTGGAGCTAGACCTGGAGCTGGAGCTAGACAATATGAATCCGACTCCGCTGCAGAATTTCCTCAGGTTGGTTACAGAATATAGAACACAGTTTTTAGATCTGAATTGATGTGAGAACTCTAGACTAACGTCCCCCCCCCCCTCCCCCCTTCCTTGTCTAAATATAAACTCAGATCACAACAAGTGCTGTTTGAAAAGTTTAAAACCGGTTAAAGTTTACTTATTAAGCTTTGCAATATTTTAATTCTAAAAAGATTTGAAAACTAATCCAAAAAATCGCTATAAGTTTTAACAATTAAATTTTTTGTTTGTTTTCGACTTGATTATTGTATAATATTATACAATAGAAGCACTTTAAATACCGGTAACCTCTATACTTCCCCTAAAGGGTTGACAGATACCAACCAACCAACCAATGGTTTTATTTGGTAAGCCAACTGACTGGAATGTATCTACTTTATCTTTCTAGCTTTGGACTAAATGATGGGGTTTTAAAGGTCTAGTTAGAACAGGGGCGGGAGAGTGCATACTGCTGCCTGGCCGGTCTGTGGGGTCCACGTTGGGACCTCTTGCAGATTTCACTTTCTTATGAATCCTTAGGGTCTGGATCGTACCTTGATGCTACGACGGATAGAGTTTGAGCGACGACGGATGCGGAAAGAATTAAAGAAACGAAAGCGTAACCAACAGATGGAAGACCGTGGTGTGAAAACCGGTTATCAGGATACCCGGATGGGAGCCGGATATCAAAACCCCCGGATGGGAGTTGGATATCAACAACCCCAGATGAGAGCCGGATACCAGAATGCGGGAAAACGAAGAAACAATCATGAAGTTGACAATAGGTGAGATATTTTTATTTGATACCAACACAAGAAAAGTAATTTAAAATTCGGTGATGGTGATGGACCAAACCTCTGTAGAGAAAAAAAGTAGATGTTAGTTCCACATTTATTGAAAATATATTTCAGTCTGGGTTGACCCTCGTCAGTTCTAACGATAAAGGAGGGGTATTTAAACCTTTTAAAGAATTGGACATAAAAAACTCTTTTTTTAAAAAACATACTGAAAATGACAAGAAAATTATTTGTTACAATTTCTGTTTTTGTCAATAATCAATATCTATAAAGGGACTTGCACTTACTTTCAAGTGACTCTCCATTTATAGAGTGGCATGTCACCCGAACCCTTAAACTCTTTATCTGATCAAGAGTTCAGAATCATCTTTTCTTTGAAAGTTGATTGTTTTTTTACTGTGGGTTTTCTCTATAATGTGGCTTGCGCATTCATGCTACAGAAACAATATGCAGGAAATTGTCAATATTAGACACTTTTCAAGCTATTCAGAAAGATGATGATATCGTCCGCATGTTTAATCAGATAAAGGTTTAATGGTACCGTTATTAATGGGACATGTCCCTTTTTTAAATCGGATGTTCACTTGAAAATACAACAACAGTACCTTCAAGTTTTACAAGTATTGTGCTGGATATTAGAACATTTATAAATCTCTTAAATCCCTGCAGGAACACACTGTGGCCGTTTCATGACTCCGATCCTACCCAGTTCCAAGGCGATAATGAGTTCCATGATGATTATGTGTTCCAAGACGGGCATGTGTTCCAAGAAAGTATAACAAACTCGGAAATGACTCAAAAAAGTATATCAGCGTTCTTTCCGCTTCAGAGACATTCACATAGGTTAGATTTATTTATTCATTTATTCATTTATTCATTTATTCATTTATTCATTTATTCATTTATTCATTTATTCATTTATTCATTTATTCATTTATTCATTTATTCATTTATTCATTTAGCCATTTATTCATTTAGCATTCATTTATTCATTTATTCATTTATTCATTTATTCATTTATTCATTTATTCATTTATTCATTTATTCATTTATTCATTTATTCATTTATTCATTTAGCCATTTAGCCATTTATTCATTTAGCCATTTAGCCATTTATTCATTTATTCATTTACCCATTTACCCATTTAGCCATCCTTCCATCTATCCATCTATCCATCTATCCATCTATCCATCTATCCATCTATCCATCTATCCATCTATCCACCTATCCATCTATCCATCTATCCATCTATCCACCTATCCATCTATCCATTTATCCATCTATCCATCTATCCATCTGTCCATATGTCCATTTGTCAATCTGTCCATTTGCCCATTTGTCCATTTGTTCATTTATTTATTTACTCCTTTGTCTGCCCTTTATTTATTCCTTTTTATTATCTAACTTATTTATTTTTTTAGATTGCATTTACTTTTCTATTTTCGTCCATTTATTTTCATAATAAACACTTTTACAACACATTAAACCAAAAATAATCATAGAAATAATATAATACTTTAGTGGGTTGCTAATAAGCATGGATAAGTAAGAATGAGTAGACATACGCTAACTGAATATATATTTATTTTACACAGTATTAATACAAGAAGCAGTATGCAATAATCAAAACAATAACATATGAAGCATGTATAATGCTGTGTACTGCATTCCAGGAATCCAACAGTGCCGGGGCGCCAAGCTTTACAGCTTTATGTTTTGTGTTGTGAATCCCGGTATAAAAATTTATCGTCATCTAATGAAGACCTACGAGATATCCCGTAATGGTTTTCAACTTTAATTGATTGATCAATCATTTTCCACAAATAGAAAAGTGGCCACACTGGATTTCGAGTTCAAGTGTTAAGGAAACTGGAAAAATTTTCTTAAAAGATTTAAATAAAGATAATTTTGAAGTTAAGAACAAGTTTTATATTTGTTGCAGGGTGGATGGTTCTGGAGACGATTCTTTTCCTTCTCTTCCTGATCCTAACCTGGTTTATCCGGGGGATATACAGGAGGACAATCAGAGAAGGGAGGAGGAGAGGCTGGAGGTTGATGATGAGAGGCTGGAAGATGAGGAGAAGAGGCTTGAGGATGAAAAGAGGCTGGTGGACGAGGAGAAGATGCTAGAGGATGCTGGAGAGAGCTGGAAGCATGATGTTCCTGAGTTAGATCTTGAGGATATCTGGAGTGATGTAACAGGACCCAGGGATAGTTTTGATCTCTCCTCTCACTCCCTCTCATACGCTGTCCGTCCTAACCAACCCTCCTGTCCTAGTCCTATACCGGAGACAGGAGAACCTGATTATCACACAAGCTTCAACATAGATATGAGGAACTCCACCCTGTCGGTGGAGTGTCGTAGCTCCAGGTCTGTGGGTTGTGACACCCTAGATCTAGGCCCAGGGTCTAATATTCAATACAGGACGGAAATAGTTCATCCTCCAGGTCGTTCCTTTCAGCAGTCATCTTCTCAACCTAGTTTTAATTCTCATCAGAATCCTCTAGATCCTATCCTGAGCTCTGTGGTAGGTCTGGACCCTACCCTGAGCTCCAACCCTGTTCCAGGTTTGCTTAGCTCCAGGTCCCATGTAGTAGTGTTAAGTCCCCGGGATCCTGGAGACCTAAGACGTACAGTATCTGTTGCAGATCTAGAGAATACTAAAGATTCGGCATTGAATTTATCAAGGTAGGTGAACACTGAACATGAATAATAGAGAACATTTATTGTTTTCTGAAAACAACCGTTTTCTAAAATTTCATTTCCGAAACAGGGTTTTTCAACTTTTATATTCCTAAAAAAGTAAAATTTTGTGTTTAAAAATGAGGAAAAGCTTGTTCAAATTGATGACAAGAAAAAGAATTCTGGTTGAAAGTATTTTGGTGTTTAATAAAATTAGAGTTATTTTACTAGTTAGGTATCTTTATGAACAAGTGTTCCATAACGGATGTTTTATTGTCGGTCTGGGGATCCCACATTGGGGGTCTTTCACGATATTTTTCATTTATTTTATTTATTTATTAAAAAATAGCTTTGAAAGGTTAATGAACAAATTTGTTAAATTCCTGTTATTTTGTAATAAATAAAGTGGGCCATTTAGGTTGATGGGTTCCCATAGTCCTGTCATCATAATAAACCAAACCTGTGCACACAGAAATCTAAGGGAAGAAGCACCAAAGATGCGCGCCGAGGGGAGGAAATCAAGTGAAGCACAACAAGCTGAATCCAGTAGGAGAAGGAAACAGAAGAAGAAGGATATCAATAAACAGGTGAGTAAACATCAAGGTTGGTTATTAAGGTTAGATACTCAGCTGCAGATAATCCTCTCCCCCTCTCATCAGCCACGTTGTCACTTCACCATCCGCCATCTGAGGATTACAAGTGTTCATTGCTATGAAGACGACATTTCCATAAAGCGCATCCAGATTATCTAACCTTAACAAACAACCTTGGTGAACATTCAATAGTAAACACTAAACAATGACAGGGACAAAATCAGGGAAGAAGAATAAAGAGAAATGGCACTGTTCTGCACTGTTTTGCATACGGATTCCTTATTACACACGCACACTCTTTTGGTACAGACACACACATGACTACAGTCAAGGAAAGTGCCGAACAATGTCATAGTTTATTGTAAACTTTAATCAAATTATATTCTTTGCACGAAAATTTGGCTTGTAATGTTGACTTAAATTTATAAAAATATATTAAATGTATACTAAACTTTTTGAAAGTAAACAATAAACAAATGTACTCTCCTAGACTGTACAAATATCGAGATTCTTCTGTACTGTATACACCAACAGTACATCTATTCGGTTCCTTATTACACACGCACACTCTTTTGGTACAGATACACACACACATGACGTATCCGCCCCCTGGACAAAATACAATCAGCGAGAGACAATAATAGGAAACAAGGACAGAGGACATTGATAGGGGATAAGGACAGAGGACAATGACAGAAGACAAGGACAGAAGACAATGATAGAGGATAGAGGACAAAGATAGGGGACATTTAGGACAAGGACAGAGGGCATTTAGGACAAGGACAGAGGACAAGGAAAAGTCAGGGAAAAAAGACAGGGGACAACGGTAGGAGACACTGAGAGGACACAAGGACAGTGTAGAGTGATAGGAGACACTGATAGGATACAAGGACAGTGGACAGTGATAGGAGATACTGAGAGGACACAAGGACAGTGAAAAGTGAAAGGAGACACTAATAGGACACAAGGAAAGTAGAGAAAAGATAAACAGAACGCAAAGGCAGGACACCAGAATAAGTACAAGAGATATGTTGACTTGACTAACAAAATGTTTTTAAATTTAGAATCTGAGTTCAGTGTTGAAATCTCTTGATGCTGCAGATCAGCTTGCCCAGAGACTTAAGCTTAGATCTGAACATATGCTTGAGATCCTAGCTACTGAGATATCAAGCATACATGGAGATATAGAGATCTGAACATATGCTTGAGATCTACTGAGATATCAAGCCTACATGGAGATATAGAGATCTGAACATATGCTTGAGATACTAGCTACTGAGATATCAGACAAACATAGAGATAGAGAGATCTGAACATATGCTTGAGATCCTAGCTACTGAGATATCAGACATACATGGAGATAGAGAGATCTGAGCATATGCTTGAGATACTAGCTACTGTGATTCAAGCATACATGGAGATATAGAGATCTGAGCATATGCTTGAGATACTAGCTACTGTGATTCAAGCATACATGGAGATAGAGAGATCTGAACATATGCTTGAGATACTAGCTACTGAGATATCGGACATACATGGAGATAGAGAAATCTGAGCATATGCTTGAGATCCTAGCTACTGAGATATCAGACATACATGGAGATAGAGAGATCTGAACATATGCTTGAGATACTAGCCACTGAGATATCAAGCATACATGGAGATATAGAGATCTGAACATATGCTTGAGATACTAGTTACTGAGATATCAGACACATGGAGATAGAGAGATCTGAGCATATGCTTGAGATACTAGCTTCTGAGATATCAAGCATACATGGAGATAGAGAGATCTGAGCATATGCTTGAGATACTAGCTACTGTGATTCAAGCATACATGGAGATATAGAGATCTGAGCATATGCTTGAGATACTAGCTACTGTGATTCAAGCATACATGGAGATAGAGAGATCTGAACATATGCTTGAGATACTAGCTACTGAGATATCGGACATACATGGAGATAGAGAAATCTGAGCATATGCTTGAGATCCTAGCTACTGAGATATCAGACATACATGGAGATAGAGAGATCTGAGCATATGCTTGAGATACTAGCTACTGAGATATCAAGCCTACATGGAGATATAGAGATCTGAACATATGCTTGAGATACTAGCTACTGAGATATCAGACATACATGGAGATAGAGAGATCTGAGCATATGCTTGAGATACTAGCTACTGTGATTCAAGCATACATGGAGATAGCGAGATCTGTGCATATGCTTGAGATACTAGCCACTGAGATATCAGACATACATGGAGATATAGAGATCTGAACATATGCTTGAGATACTAGTTACTGAGATATCAGACACATGGAGATAGAGAGATCTGAGCATATGCTTGAGATACTAGCTTCTGAGATATCAAGCATACATGGAGATAGAGAGATCTGAGCATATGCTTGAGATCCTAGCTACTGAGATATCAGACATACATGGAGATAGAGAGATCTGAGCATATGCTTGAGATACTAGCCACTGAGATATCAGGCATACATGGAGATATAGAGAGATCTGAGCATATGCTTGAGATCCTAGCTACTGAGATATCAAGCATACATGGAGATAGAGAGATCTGAGCATATGCTTGAGATACTAGCTACTGAGATATCAAGCCTACATGGAGATATAGAGATCTGAACATATGCTTGAGATACTAGCTACTGAGATATCAAGCATACATGGAGATAGAGAGATCTGAGCATATGCTTGAGATACTAGCTACTGAGATATCAAGCATGCATGGAGATATTGAGATCTGAACATATGCTTGAGATACTAGCTTCTGAGATATCAGACATGCACGGAGATATTGAGATCTGAGCATATGCTTGAGATCCTAGCTACTGAGATATCAGGCATACATGGAGATATAGAGATTTAAATAAAATATCTCAAATTACAAGACCTGACCCGTTAACTAACAAAAATATCTGTGATAATTTGAAATTGTTCTTATTGTTTGAACCTATGTTAGCGTTTCAAGGGTTTGGATTGGTTTTCTCTGAAAGTGAGTGTATTTTTTTAATTTGTTCACTGTAAATACTTCATAGACTATTCAAAATATCACGATAAGGGTTTCCATGTGCATTGTGCAATTTATTGCTTTTTTCAATTTCAGGAGAGTTTGATCAAATTTTGTTAAAAATTGCCTTTAATACTTTTAAGAAATATTTTAAGTTTATTATCAAAAAAATTGCTTTTGAGAAAATGCACAGCTATGGCTACACAGTACACAGAACACAGTACACAGTACACAGTATACAGTATACAGTATACAGTACACAGTACACAGTACACAGTACACAGTACACAGTACACAGTACACAGTACACAGTACACAGTACACAGTACACAGTACACAGTACACAGTACACATGCGGAAAGTTTAAGCGCAATGATGAAATGTTTATTATTCTCTTCTGATATCCATAATAACAGAGACACGGGAAAATAGTTTTTGTCCTACTAATACCATAACTTATTCTGGCAAAAGTTAGTGAGTAGGTTTTGCGATATTATTTTGTGCAATTGTGCAATGGAAACCCTAATCACTATAAACCAAGAATAATTTGATAAAAAGTAAACAATTCCAATTTAACATGTTTGGGAAATTGGGATTTGAAAATTTAGATAATCTTAACATCACATTCCTCAATCTTGTTGATCATTTCCTATATCATTCCCTGATTCAGTCACACAGTATATTCAGTATTAACATCACATTCCATTCTATTACTTTAACAGCCTAGACTTATCAGCTGTTAATTTCAATACAAATTTTATTTTATATCACATTACTGTCAACATATAAAAACAGTTCTACTCTTCTAATCATGCTAATTCAAAATTGTGGTCTGTTTTTCCAAACTTAGTAAAAATTGAATTCACAGATTTGGTTTAAGAATTATACCTGTATTTTCTGAGCTTTAAATCATTTGTTTTCTGTACCTATTCTAATATATACAAAAAATATTTAAAAATATCAATCTCTCTTCGTTCAAAATGAATTTAAAATTCATTATTTCTGACCGTGTGCCATATTCAATATTTATACTTGTAACTTGAAAATTACCGATTTGGAAATTTATATAAAGGATTTGTTTTTATCCTTTATCTTCATATTTCTTAACTAACAAAATATTCTTGTCATAAACTGTACTGTACTGTACTACATCACCAATAAATTGTACTGTACTTCGTAACCAATGATTTGTATTGTACTGTACTAATTCACGAATCAAATGTAGTAACCAATGAATTGTACCATTTTGTAACGAGGCCTAATTTTTTGGTAATTTAGCATAAATTGTACTGTAGTGTTTTGTACAAGTTTTTAAGAATTAATAAATTTTTTTATTTTAACTTGTTAAATGCATGCACCAAAAAATGAATGAAAGTAGTCACCGTTAATATCAATACAATGAAGGCATATTTGTTTGATAATGTTTTGATCTCTGACAATTGTTTATCAAAATGCAAGTTTACATTCAGACAAAGAAAATCTGTTACGTGGCAACTTCTCTTTGTTTTTATGTTTATGTTTATCTGCTGCTTGAACGCTTAGAAGCAAACCAGTCGTCTTCATTGTGCGGATTTGTATCGTACTGTAGTACAGACAATGAGACGACATCTACAAGTTTGCAAGAATTTTATAATTAGGTGTTGTTCACGAAGCTTATTGGTCAAATCCTCAAACCACATTCAAAAGAAATTAACTTAATTTGCCAAGCCACACTAGATACGGATTAGTGCATTTCGGAAAGAATTAACGATTCAAAAGTTCAAACCTCTGTCCTAATTAAGAATTTGTTCTCTCGTTCAAAATTAAAAACTGAAGTACAATCATCGCTGTCTATGTCAATACAATGAAGACGACGTTTGATTTCATCTTTAATCTTTAAGACAGCATGGATACACATCAAAATTTAAACAAAAAGAAGCTGTCAATTAACAGCTTTTCTTATCTACTTGTAAACTTGTAAGAAATCAAAACTTAAATAGAAAATTCATCTTCATTGTATTGATAATATCGCCGATCATTGTATAAAAAGTGAGAGAAAAAGACGATTGCTAACAATTTAAATGCGTTTATTCATAACTGCATAAATATAAATATATAATAAAGGATTTTTAAATAATCCGACTACATGCTCTAAACCGGGTAAAGGGACTGTATAGATATAATTTAAATTGATTTTCTGTGGAATTTTTTATCTTTAAACATGAAACGTAATAAAAATTTCAAGTGACTATTATTTTCTAATTGAAAATTGATTATTTTCATTTTTGTTTTTTCTATGTAGTGCCCTAGCATCGGGTTCAGAAACAATGAAGGAAATGAAGAGTTTTCAACGATCACTTTCTTGATTAAGGGAAACCATGTGAATCGGGCAACCTCCCTTTTAAAAGTAGTTACCGGCTATGTAACTGAGTATGCAGTGTTGTGGAAAACTTCTTTTGGATTCATTTGAGACATATTAAACTTTTTAAAGATCTGTAAATCCTGAGTTTGAGCGCAAATTCGACGTTCAAAACTCCTACTTTGGGGGTGGATACGTTTTCAGAATTAGTTTTTTTTTTAAATGCATACTCAGTTCAACTACCTTACATAGCCGGTCACTCCCTTTAGATGAATCTAAATGGATTGAAATTTCAAGAACAGTCCCATTATTAATGTTCTAAGTGTATACTATAATGGTCAGATAGTAGCAAATAGATTATCAAGTACAATAGATGGCAGCGTAGAATTTGTACACTCTCATTACAGCTGTATTCTTTTGTCACAAGTGAAAATTTTAGAATAAAGTGCTTATCATACAGTAAAATAAGTGCAATTATATATGTTCTTTATTTTCTGTTTTTACACTTTTTTATTTAATCTTGGAAAACATGTCAACTAATGTGAGAAAATTTCGTTTTTCTTGTTATATTTGGCACTTGTGACGTCGTGTATAATTGGTCCATTTCTCTGTTGCCACCTATTGTACTTGATAATCTATTTGGATATTATCAACACATTAATGTTAGAATCGTGTATTTTAAGAAGAGCTTGAAAAGGGGAAAGGATTTGTTGACATTTTAAGTTTGGACATCTAAGGCACTGGTTCTATTGTAAACAATCACAAAGATTATAAACAAAGCCAGGTAGTTCTGGGATATTACTGTTTACTGAATGTTGTTTGTTTACAACGTAACTTGTTCTAGAACTGTCCTAATACGTCATAAGAATGTAAACAAAAATTTCCACCTCTTCTAAGGTCTACTAAATCTGACCCAACATTAAAAAACTTAATCACAAGACTATTATTCGACTTCTTCCTCCCTCTGACATATTATTTCAGCTTTCCTAAAATGCAATAAAAATTAGGGAATATGAAAAAAATAATATATAATTTTTTGGCACAATGGGTGTCATAAAAGAATACTTCTTGGTCAGTTTCTTCACTTTTTTAGATAAAATAAATCCGAATGAAAGACAATTTTTTTTAAGCGGAAATCGTTCATGGCACTTGAGAGAACTTAAAAGGAAAACTGGCCCAACGGCTTGAATAATGATGGTCTACCTGAGAGAAGATGAATACCAGCAACCAGTGCTACGGCTAGAATAATGATGATCTACCTGAGAGAAGATGAATACCAGTAACCAGTGCTACGGCTAGAATAGTGGTCTACCTGAGAGAAGATGAATACCAGCAACCAGTGCTGCGGCTAGAAATGCGGTAGTTTTCCACATTGTTGTTTCAACCTTCTTCTCTTCCAGTTCTTCTTTCTCCAATCTAAAGATTGTTTTCTTTTTTCATACAGTGAATCCCATTATCCCAGATATATGAATACATAGCAAGATTTTTTATAATGTCGTATTCTCAACATCAAGATCTAATGCCGCGGAGAAATAAGTTTAATATATCAATTGCTGTCCTTCATATTTCAGAGCTATTAATTTACCTTGAATTAAAAATAAAAAGCATTTTCTTAAGAATTTTCAAAAAACTTAAGACTCGACAATGATATTTCGATATATTCACAAATCGTATTAACAACCTTTTGAAGCTGTGAATATTTCGGCAACTTTCTTTTCTGCAGACCAACGATAAAGCATTACAGCTGTCATAAATTTTAAATAAATTTCAAGACAACATGTCCTGCACACGTTCTATGTATTTATATATGTGAGATTGGCTGTAATTAAAACTATTTATTTATTCAATCCTGTATTGTAAATACCTGAGTCTAGTGGCTTTAGCCTGAGTCCTGCCAAGTTTAATTTGAAGATTTCTGCAGGTTTTGGCAAGGTTTTCTGTAAACATCAAAATATACTCTGGTGGTCTTTTTTGGAACTAAACTCGCACTCTGCCGGTCATTTATAGAACTAATTACCCTCAATCTGGCGGTCATCTATAGAGCTAGTTACTCTCAATCTGGCAGTTATTTATAAAACTAAAACTAAAACCTAGTGGCCATTTGTAGAACAATTAACTCTCAATCTAAAAGTCATTTATAGAACAAAACTCTTAATCTGGTGGTCGTTTATAAAACTCAATTTACATACTGGCGATCATTCATTTAAACTTAAATGGTCATTTTCGCGCTCTGGCTGCATTTGTCGACCTCAATTTGAGGTCATTTTCAGGATTTTTACTTTCATCAAATTTTTACAAACAAAGTTTAAATCATAGTTTCCCATGACCCTATTTGTACTTTAAAAATCATAGTTTCCCATGACCCTATTTGTACTTTAAAAATCCCCCAAAAATTGTTTCTTATTGTCTTTAGTTATTAAATCGACACAGCGATAAGATTTCTTCTAACAGTGCAATATTGGACTTTAAAAAACATTCAAATAATTATAAAACTTTTTAGAAAACATGATCATTATTTTCTGATTACTTATTTACTTACCTAACTCCCATTTGACTCGTTTAAATTCTTTGGCGTCCTTATCCCTGGAGGCATGCCGCCATAGTTTTAGAACTTACTTTGGGGGCAATACAACTTTCGAACAGGAAGACGACTGATTTTAAATAGTTCAATAAACATGAAAAGCATTAATTGTGCAGTGTAAACAGACCCATTTAACTAATTTCAAATAAAATAAAATTTCTGAAATGTCTTCTTCCTAATCCACAGTTTTATGGGCCCCATGCACTGCAGTAACTACTTGACTTAAAGAAAAGCTGATATTTTAGTGTTTTGAATATTTTAAAACTATTTTTTCCAATTTTCTCAATTTTTCTAATTTTTTTTAGAATAAAACAGTTGAATAGAGGCCTCTTCTATTTTACTAACAGGGTGAACCACCAAACATGAACCAATTTAAGTACGACTTGAAAATAATTTTGATTGACAAGCAAACAAACTTGAACGCATTTTAAGCTTTCCAAAAACTAATGGAGACATTGTATTTACAGACAATTTTGATTTTATTTGATAATCTTAAGCTGGAAAATACTTTTAATAATCTAAAAAACTATGTGTCTATCTATTTATCTATATATAAATCTATCTATCTATCTATCTATCTATCTATCTATCTATCTATCTATCTATCTATCTATCTATCTATCTATCTATCTATCTATCTATCTATCTATCTATCTATCTATCTATCTATCTATCTATCTATCTATCTATCTATCTATCTATCTATCTATCTATCTATCTATCTATCTATCTATCTATCTATCTATCTATCTATCTATCTATCTATCTATCTATCTATCTATCTATCTATCTATCTATCTATCTATCTATCTATCTATCTATCTATCTATCTATCTATCTATCTATCTATCTATCTATCTATCTATCTATCTATCTATCTATCTATCTATCTATCTATCTATCTATCTATCTATCTATCTATCTATCNGTAGTCTAGACTTTACACTGGGTAGTCTAGACTGCATGTTTTGTACAACTAGACCGGAAAATCCTTATACTAGTTTGCATACAACGATTGAACCATGTAGATGAATTCTACATGTCGCACACACCTCTGCCCCTTTAGTAGAAGTATATTCAACCTATGTGAAGCATGAAGTCTGACCGCGTCAACCTTGTTGCACCGGCTAGTCCTGTCCATAGAACTAGGTGCAGTACAAACTAGGACTGGAAAGGTTGACCCAGCTCGGAAATTCAAATGTACAACGGCTGCCCTTGGTCGACAAATACAAACAAACTTCTGAACTTTTGAAGAGGAAATTGTGTAATTTGTCATTTACAGGACAAAATTGTGAAATTTTTATTATTTTAGATTGCATCTTCTAGCTTGGTTGTGTTCTTAATTAAGAATTCGTGTATGTTTATGTATATTTAATAATGTGAATGTACATTCTTTTTAAAGATAATGCTGAGGAAACTTACTTTAGGTATCGCTAGATTAATTCACTATTTTTAATTCTTGCAATTGATGTTTTTTCTATCTTTTGAGAATCATGAGGTATAAAATAATTATTTCGTTACCTTTTTCATTTCTTTTCTCCTCAATCAGACCCTTTAAATGAGAAAGGAATTGAGTTTTTGGCACAAACACAAATTTTATAATCCCTTTATCTTTGCAAATCAACGTCGTAGACCTCAGATATTTCAAAATAGGAATTCTATTAGATCCAAAGAGAATAGAATAGTAGAGTGGAATTTACTAGAAAAAGTGTAAAACGGCCATTTTGTTGTACTGTTTCCATACTACAGGTGTACTTCACATATTTATGCTATCTAACCTTTTGGGCCCTGGAATATCATTTTATAGAAAATCTAAAATTATTGTTAAAAGAAACCCAAATTATGAAATAGGCTGGTTTCACAATTGACCAATGATCATTTCACATAAACTCTATGCCTTTCACTTTACAAACGATGATTTTCCGTTATAACTATAAATCAAATGATATGTTTTATTCACCTAATTCATTATAAAGTTTAACGGCTTTCAAAAATTCGAAATTGAAATGAATAGTCTAGGGAACATATTGTATTAATGTACTCTACTGCATATAATTTGTGAACATTTACATGATTTGTACACTTTGAACTCCCTTTCAGGCTGAAATGGACTGAAAAAATTCAAACCGAGAGATTTATTAAATTCCCCTCTAATATATATTTTATTCTCTATGATTAGATCAAATAATCAAAATCTTAAATATCAAAGGTTTAGACCAGCAGGTTGCAAAATCATTGGGGTTAGGAAATCTGTGTTTGTGGCAAAGACTCAATTCCTTACCTGGCAAAGTTTTCCTTGAAGTTCTTCTACCATTGGAATACTACTCAACTCTTCCTCTAGGCTCTGAACTTTTTTCTAAACAATTCTCAATTTACTTTTTATTTTAAAAACTTTTCTCCACCTTAATCAGGAATAACTAAGGTTTAAAGATTAAAGATTCTAATTTATTATAACTAATTATAACACTGTTATTTTGGTTCGCAGTGTTATAAAGTTTTTGGACAGAAATTTTCTCTTCATCGAGAAGGTTCAAGCCTTTTCAGAGCTTCAGCAAGGGACAAAATATAATCTAAAAAGGCGAGAACCTGTGATATATAGAAATTTAAGTCCAAAACTTTATAGCACGTCGTACCAAAATAATATTGTTAAAGGTAATTTCATGAAACGTTTGTGTACTTACATATTTCAATGGCTATTTCAAGATCAAATAAGCTTTGAAACAAATCAGAAGTCAAAAAATAAAGTTGATTTCAATTTTATTTTCATTTCAATTGAAAAAAATATATTTTGAAAATATCCTAATTTTTTGGGAGAAAATCTGGGAACCAATCAAAACTTTATAGCACGTTCATTATGAAATTCACGATGAAGTGAGGAAGAATGATTAAGTACACAATAGTTTCATAAAAATTATCTTCTCAGCAAGTTAATTTAAAATATTTAGTAAAATATTGATAATTTTATTACAAATTATAAACCCTTACTCCAGATTAGATTAATAATGGTCACTTTGGACCTATAGTGTGTGAAGTATTATTTTATTCTATTTAAACCTTTAAATCTTCAGGTTCCAAGGATAGACCTTCAATAATGACAGATTGTCTACGGATTGTAGAATGTGGATCTATTGGACCTATAGTGTGTGAAGTATTATTTTATTCTATTTGAACCTTTAAATCTTCAGCTTCCATGGATAGACCTTCAATAATGACAGATTGTCTACGGATTGTAGAATGTGGATCTCGCACTTCATCATCCCTTGAAAAAAATTTTAAAATTTAAAAAACTCAAATTTTCTAAATTCCTATATCTTTGCAACCCGATGGTGAAAACAGTTAATATTGCAAGCCTAAATTATTTGATCTAACAGATTTCATAGTATGAATTTTCAAAGGTCTACGTCATAAGGTTGCAAAGATATAAAGGGATTTGAAAATCAGAGTTTTTGGCAAATACTCAACTCATTTGTTTTATAAGAATACATAGCAAGAGCGCATAAATTATTGTCTTGAAATTTATTTAAAAGCTTATGACAGCTGTTATGCTTTATCATTGGCCTGCACAAAAAGAAAGCTGCTGAGATGTTCGCAGCTTCAAATGGTTGAGTACGATTTATGAAAATGTATCATAAGTTTTTTTGATAATTCTAAAGAAACTGCTTTTTTATTTTTTATACAAGGTAAATAGATAGTCCTTAAATATGAAGGACAGTAATTGATATATTAAACTCGTTTTTTTCCGCGGCATTTGATGTTAAATATGTTGAGAATACGACATTATAAAAAACTCTAGCTATGAATTTATATATCTGGGATTCACTGTAAAAAAATGGAAAATGGAAAAACGATGATTATAACAGTGTAAGAAAGGGAAACATTTAGAATTCACGTGTAGAATGACGTCTACAAAAATCCCCTCTTCTTTAAATGTTCATGTTAACCAATGATAAGGAGTCTGTACAATTCCCCTGTACAAACTACTTGCTTTTCTTAAACTATGCCAAAATGTGATCCTTACAGGAAATATAGGCAATAAATGAACCAAAACGAACCAACTTTTTATATAAAATAAGTCCAAGGGAAAGTAAAACAGCATAACATCCCGCTACAGTATACTGAGTCGGGATATAATATATATATAATAATATACACCCACAAAGGATGAGACTTCAGAGTCGATTGTACGGAATTTATTTATTCTGTTTTCTTGCATTCAGGGTTCCTAGTTGGCCAAAACAGGTTTATTTTTGTATTACTCAATTGAATGCAGAAAACGAAAATTTAGCCATAAATTATCATATTTTTAGAGTTTTGGGTCGTCTTTACAGTCTCATCCATTGTGAGTAACATAGCATATATATATATATATATATGATTAATTAATTCATTATATTTATATATATCATTATACAATATATATTAAAGAGTTGGGATAAAATATTTCTCTGACCTGTCCTTATTCTCTCTACTCCTGGATGTGCTGTTAGTACTGAGACCAGATTTAATAAATAATGAGAAGTAGTTGAACCGCGTAGATGTAGTTGAACCATATAGACATAGTTAAATCGTGTAGATACATTTAACTGTGTAGACGCAGTTAAACCGCATTGACTATGTTGAACCAAGTGGACGCAGTTGAACCGAGTAGACTAGGTTAGTATTAATAATGGGTCCTTTACTACTACTTACATTTACGCCGATAGACTACATGGAACAATGTAAACGTAGTTGAACCACATAGATAGGTTGAACCATGTAGACGTAGTTGAACCACGTTTACTACATTGAAGCACATAGACGTAGTTGAACTGGGTAGACAATGTTGACTGCGAAGACTACATTGAACCATGCAGAAGTTGTTGAACCTCGTAGACTATGTTGAACCGCCTAGACTACTTTGAACCATGTAGACTGCGTTGAACAACATAGACTATGTTGAACCACGTAGACTACGTTGAACCACATAGACTATGTTACACCATCTAAACTATGTTGAACCTCGTGGACTACGTTGAACCACATCGTGGACTACGTTGAACCACATAGACTTCATTGAACCACATAGACTACGTTGAACCAAATAGATTATGTTGAACCGCATAGACTACGTTGAACCGCATTGAATATTTGAATCGTGTTAACTATGTTGAATCACTGGGTCAAGCTGAAAAGGTTCAACTTGGTCTTTGTAGTTAAACTATTGATTAAATCTGGTTCCTAGTTATGCTTACTATTGACTCTGCTCTTGCAGAATCATCCAGATCTTCTCTATCCTCAACTCTTTCATCATCATCATCATCATAATCATCCTTAGTAACATCTGTAACATTGCGCTTCTCGATCTCATCATTAACAGATTTCTCTTTTGGTTTCCTGAAAATGTTTTCAGAGACGTTTATTTTGAATACAATTTGACAATTTGACAATGTTAATGGGTTTTATACTATTATATCTAAATTTCTGCAATAAAAATTAAAAAAATAAATATGTTAAAAAACATCTTTTCATTTTATTTCTTGTCGCTGTTTTTACCTGAGAGAAAGGAGAAGAGTTTGTAATGAATCTCTGCTGGCTGTGTTGAACTGAAAGGTCTGTTTCTAAACATTATTTGATTCTTGAGGATAAAATATGAAAACAGATTTGTAAACTATCTAACTATCTAACATAAATTACATTCCTAGAATAATTTAAGATTTCCTAGATAAATTTTGGATTTCGTAGATTAATTTTAGAATTTCTAGATCAATTTCAGATTTCCTAGATTAATTTTAGACTTTCCAGATTAATTTCAGATTTCCTAGATAAAATTTAGGTTTCCTAGATTAATTTCAGATTTCCTAGATTAAAGTTTGATTTCCTAGATTAAATTTAGATTTCCTAGATTAATTTTAGATTTCCTAAATTACTTATAGATTTTCAAGAATAATTACAAGATTTCTATGATAAATTTTAGATTTTCAAATTAATTATGGCTTTAGATAACTTGCCTCTGTATCCGTATGATTTGGTTGTTTACCATCTGAACCTGAGTTATTTGAAACACTATCTAGATTCCTAGATATACATATATATATAAATATATATATTTGAAACACTATCTAGATTCCTAGATATACATATATATATATACATATTTATATTTGAAACACTATCTAGATTCCTAGATATATATAGAAAACAAAAGTAGAGTCTGTATGATCAAATTGTAACGAGCCTAAAACAATATTTATACTTTGTGTTTTTGTAAAATTTTGATGGTTTTCAATTTTTAATTTAAGTGTAAATTTTTATTAAATGAGGGGAGGGTGGCAGGAAATTTTTAAAGGGATCTTTTTTGTTTTATTAGTAAAGGAACTGAGGTTTTGCAACAAATTCAATATTTCTAATCCCTTTGTGACCTGAGCTGAAAACTTTTGAATGGTGGATATCGGGATTAATGCTTAATCCACTCTTTTTCTTAATCTCGAGATTAAATATTGCTTGTTCTCCTCTCATTTTTAATCTCCAGATTAATTATCCGATCAGGATTAAGGATATCCCATTCAAAAGTTTTCAGCTCTGATAGTGTGGACCTTTCATTTTCAAACTTACGCTATCTTTTCTAGTAGAAATATCATAGGCTTACAACATAGGGTTGCAAAGATATAGGGATTAGAAAATTTGAGTTTGTTTGAAAAACTCAATTCATTCAAAATCATAAAACTGCGAATTTGGTTGGGACAACATTTTTTCCCTTACCGTTTCTTTAAATCCAGATTAGAAGCTTCAGTGCTATCATATTCTGTTTTATTTCCAATCTCAATTCTCTCATTACTCTTGGCACTTGGGGGCTGCAGGATGGATGCTACAGAATTTGATGAAATTGATCTGAAATTAGAAACCGGATTGTGGTTTACCACTTCTAGTTCAAGCATTTTAAATTTGATCTCATAAGTCTATGTACAGTGGAACTCATACAACTATGGAATAGAAAGAAATGGTAAGACTCAAATTATTAATTTAAACAGTCCAATGAACAGTCCAATGTTCAGTCTTCACAGGCCCATTTCACTTAATACCGTGATTTTTAGGCTCCATGTATAATCTTTTGCTTGTGAACAACATCAAATGCACACAACATATTTCTGCCTATTCCACAATTTTATGGATCTCACTGTATATATATTTCAATATTTTAGCTGAGACCTGAGTAGCTCAAGTGGGATATCTTGTGTTTGCTGTTGGTCCAAGTTCAGGATTTGAAATGTTTCTCTTACATAGACCACGCACTGTGCTCCACCACCTGCATTCAATCCGGATAAGATTTGGTATCTTCATAATTGAATTTTAATCTATCAATCATATACCTGTATCGGGCAGAAACATTTCTTCTTTTCTTTTAGTGACTATGTTGTTACTATGAGGGGTCTTGCTTCTAAAAAAAAAGTTTTATTTTGAGTTCTTTGAATCTCCTTGCTTCCCAACAGGATTGTATCGCAATAATGAGAATAATGAGTGGGATTAAATGAAAAGCTTTCACCCTCACGGCAATCAATTTGTTACAATCTTATATTGGGGAAGTTGTACCTGAGACCTTTCCTCCCTTTCCTCTTAAGAGAAAATTTTTAGTTGCCAATCTGATCACAAATTTAATGTTCGTACCTTTTCTGAGAATGCTTGCTTGATGTTGAAGACCTTAAACTTGCTATGGATGATCTTCGACTGCTTGGTGAACCTCCTCTTTTAGATGCTGGTGAACTAGCTCTTGATGAAACCTCTGTTGCTGGCCTTACACTTACAGGTGATTCTTGCATTCTAATTGGTTGAGTCTTCAGAGGGGATCCATTCCTACTACTGCTGTATTCCTGTGATCTCAACCTATCTGTCCTCTCAGATACATATCTTGAAGAAGATTTGTAACTTGAAGAGGTATACGAAGAGGCAGGGGATGGATCTCTGCTTGATAGGGATGAATAAGCATGTGGGAATTTATTAGGAGAGCTGTGCCTACTGGATTTTGAGACATAATCAGAGGGATAATGAACCGGTGAATTATAATGGCTGGACCTAGCAGAATATGATGGAGTATATCCTCTGTTAGGAGAGGCATTTCTGCTGGATCGAGCAGAATGTGATGGAGTATATGCTCTGTTAGGAGAGGCATTTCTGCTGGATCGAGCAGAATGCGATGGAGTATATTCTCTGTTCGGAGAGGCATTTCTGCTGGATCTAACAGAATGTGATGGAGTATATCCTCTGTTAGGAGAGGCATTTCTGCTGGATCGAGCAGAATGCGAGGGAGTATATCTAGATGGGGACACATGTCTGCTTGATCTAGCAGAATATACAGAGTTGCCACTGCTAACTGGAGAAGTGTTTCTGCTGGACTGAACACTAAGAGGGTTGGAATAATGGGAATAGCTCGGCACAGAATCTCTGGAGTAGTTTTTAGTTGACGGTCTTATTAACTCAAGGCTGTCATCATATCTAATAAAACAATGAAAAATTTTAAGAATAATGATTTCACCAAAGCCTGCAGTGCAAAGGATGTATATGGAATGTACCTGTTTTGCTCTGGAAATACTCTGCTTGTTCTAATTTGGGAAGAAGAATTTGGACTGCCATGTCTGCTCTGACTATCTAGAGTTCCCCCTCGACTAGTATGCTCCGGACTGGTCCTTCTACTTGATCTTTCCGAAGAATATCTGCTTTGAGTTTCAGATCTTCGAGGAGCACTTGATTGATTGGTAGATCTGGTTGGAGAGTTTCTACAGCTGTAGGAACCAACAAACTTCCTGTATAATGAGAAATCATGTTAGAGAGATAGAAACAATTATGCCATCCTTAATTTAGAGCTATGTTGACGCCCCATAATTGGTCGATGGTCTACAAAATGGACGATTCAACCAATTTCAGGTCTGGATTTTTCTAACTGCGTCCAAAAGAAATCCTTATTAAACGGACTGGAATTGTCACCTAACAAACTTTAAGCATATTGAATTAAAAAAAACTTTGACCTCTTGACTAAACTTTTTCTCAACCAAAAGTGCTTAGAGTAATTTACTGACCTACTAGGTGCTGGTGATGATACAGGTGAGGCACACAGGGAGGAAGAAGGATATCTAAAGAAATAGGGTAAATTGTGCTTCATAATTATGATTGGAACTTGCAGGGGTTTAATCGAACCAATTTTATGCAAAAAGTACCCGTTCAACTTTATTGTACCAAATAGTTGTTAGATTTAAATCCCAATCATATTTATACAAAGATACACATTTAGTTTCGTGAATATTGGAGAGAATATCTTGATTAATTTCCCTGAAAATATTCTCACCTTTTTAATAATGATTCTCTTGACTCTGTAAAAGCCAGGTTTTGAGAGCTTGAGCTCAAATTTTCTAGAGATTCCCTGGAATTGTGGTCCAATTTACTACATAATTCATGTAAAATGGAAACAAGGAATTAAGTTAGAATTTCAAAATGGATAAGATGTTACCTAATTGTACCAGATATTTGTCTGTTTGCCTGAAATTAATATTGTTGAACACTTGTGACGTAGAATTTTTGTAACATATTTAATTTTTCTATTTGCAGAACTTTCACATTTTTCAAATTTCACATTTTTTACCTTGAGTAATCTGCAATTTCTTGGCAAGGAGTAGGCCGAGGATAAATAAGGGTATCTAGAAAGTTTTTAATTCATGGTAAACATCTGAGGGATTAAAAATCAAATTTCTAACTTTTTAAATTGGGGCAAATTTTTTACTGCATGGCAATGAGATTGGTATATCGAATTTTTCAATATGCATAAGAAGCATAAAAAGTTGTGTAAACTATTTTCAGACTGATGGGGATGAACTTTCTAAAAAAATCATTACATTGTTTTCAGAATTGAAATTAAACAAAATCAAATTGACCTAATGAATACTTTGCGAGAATTGGCTAATACTGATTAACTGAGATTATTATTGAAAATAAAAAGGTCGTTTTTTATTACCAAGGCAGCTGTGTGTCGACAGCAACTGCAAAATATTTTGGGGAATACCATTGACAATTTTGGGAATATCACTAAAAATTTTGGGAATATCACTGAAAATTTTGGGAATATCACTGAGAATTTTGGGAACATCACTGAAAATTTTGGGAATTCACTAAAAATTTTAGGAATATCACTAAACATTTTGGGAATATCACTGAGAATTTTAGGAACATCACTGAAAATTTTGGGAGTATCACTAAAAATTTTGGGAATATCACAAAATTTTTTGGGAATATCACTAAACATTTTAGGATTATCACTAAAAAATTTGGAAATATCACTTTAAATTTTGGAAATATCACTAAACATTTTGGGAATATCACTAAAAATTTTGGGAATATCACTGACAATTTTGGCTCATATCACGGCCCGCTTATAGATATGATTCTATCTATCTATCTACACTGAACTCGGCCACAGTACAAATTTTATTTTGGTAATTTTTTCCATGGGCCTACCAGCTGATATAGCAAACCGGACCCTAGATTTGTTGTGTTTATTTTAGGGGCATATTTATGTTTTTTTTTAATGTTTCTTTTATACAATTTTTTATCTTTTATTATTCAAAATAGATTTTTTTTTGTTTACAAAGAATTAATATCTGAAGGAAAGTTCAGGGTCCATAGAGTAGGAAAGTTGTACAGCTGTGTTGATAAACAGTGCGCCCTGTGATGTATGAACATGAGGTACTGCAGTGTAATATCAAGTGAAAATAATAGTACTTTTCAAGATAAAATCTTTTTTTCGTTCCCGAAAAAAGACCTAAGAGTAGTATGGTTTACAAGCCAACCTTCCTCCTGGAATCCGAAAAAATGGAGTGTGATATGCTCAGACCATTTTTCTCCTGATGACCTTAATAGGGTTTCTAAAAGACTACGACCTGGAGCCATACCATCCTCTAACCCCCAGTCATCAGCAATTCAAGGTAATATGTGATTCAATTTTTGTTTTAAAAAGTTCGATAAATGTGAACTTTTTTTGATTTTGACGAAAAATGTTATATTCATTTTTAAACTTCTTTAAAAATTAAAAGATTTGTGTGACTGTACAGTGTACATATAGGTAANCTTCGCCCCCCCCCCCACCTTCTTACTCTTAGTCAATAATATATTTATTATTTTGAATCCTCAGTATTAATTAAGTTAAAGCCTTTAAAAAGGTCGGGGGGCAACGATAATTAAGCTATCTTTGAAATAAAGTTTAAACATTGAAAACTACACAAGGGACTAAAACAAACCATCCCCCGCACCTTCTAAAATTCAGTGGAATATAACTGTTTGGCTATATAAGAAAGAAATTATGCAAGAGCTGGTCCAGGGTCCATTGTCTGCTAGAACTCCAATGTACTGCATAACACCCCACCCAGAAAATTACATCGAAACTCGTCTATGATCCATCCATTTTATTATATATCCGTGGCTCATATAACGTGGCTGGCCTACTTTTAAGCAGTTAGAGCAAGTTGTACAGTTGTACAGTATACTATAGATAGTAAGCCAAGACGGTTCACCAAATCAATCATCTACTTCTAGCGACAGTAATATGATATACTCGAACATAATCTTTGTTCTTTTTAAATGCTTTTAGTAAATTTGATAATAATAATATTATTTTCAGATTTCTTAACATGGTGTACCTGAATTGTGTAAGGTTGTCAGAGCTTGCATCTGGTGATCCCTGATTCATGGTCTCTAACCTTCGGCTAGGGGTCCCAGGCTCTTGATCCATGGTCCCTAATCTCCTGCTAGGGGTCCTAGAACTCCTTGTATCAGGTCTCCTTGATGGCAAGGTATCCCATAACCTCTCTGTGCTACCATTCCCTTCTAAAATTAAAAGTATCTGTATGTTTACAATAGGATATACACTGTCTTAAACATACTTACTCATCGTTGCACCAGTCATATGAGAGTGTGCACATTCAGAGCAGTGCTATGCAAAGTCTGACCAGTGCTATGCAGAGGGACCCTCTCAGACCCGAATTGAGAAGGTCTAGAGCTACTCTGCATAGCACTGGTCCAAATGCGTACGCTCTCATCTAACTGGTGATAAGTAAGTATATTTAAAACAGTGTTAATATATTTAGTTAGACCTAATCAAGGTATGTTTACAAAAGGTAGGGGGATAGGGTACACAATTGACTATGCATTTGTAAAATATAAACATATCCTCCTCTACCTTAAATATACATACATAACTTGAAACTATAATAAAACATCATTCATTTAACGCACATTGTTTCAATTCATGCAACTAGGTTGCACAATGCACATAGACCGGTCCCAATCTATTATTATCATTACTGTTTTGAATATTTTGCAGTTGACATGTTTAAAAGATTCGAATTGCTTTTGGTGTACAGGGTTACCCTCAAAGAATAAAATTTCAAAGACGACTGTAGACAATATATTTAGTCCTTTACGTTCATGGTTCCCTCCAGCTAGCTATAAACTTTTTTCTTTGCCAAACCATGCAATACATACCTACTTCTTCAGATTAAACAGTTCAGGTGGATATTCAAGTCTTATTATTTGTGACTAACCCTGTTTATGGAGTGGGTACAAAATGTTGATTATCAAAACCTCGATTATCAAAGTGTCGAATAAAAAAAACATTGATGATTCGAAACATCCACTGTTACAAAACGTCTAATAACAAAACGTTGAAATTACAAAACGTCAAATACTACTAAACCTTGACTGCTACAAAATGTTGACTGAATTGCTAAATAGCGTGAAAATATCAGTTAAAATCAGCATTCAACATTTAAGAGGCCACAGCGCTTGGCCCCCTAGCCACAGCCCCCTCTAACCTAACCTAACCCAACATAATGTTACATTTTGAAACTATCAACGTTTTGTAGTAGTCTATGATTTGTAAATTTGTTGTAGTCGACGTTTTGTAGTGTTCAACATTTTGTAATTTAGTCATTTTGAAGCAGTTAACGTTTTGAAGAAGTAGACGTTTTGTTATTTAACATTTTGTAGTAGTCAACGTTTTGTAGTAATTGACGTTCTGTATCATCGACGTTTTGTTATTCAACGTTTTGATAATCAAAGTTTTGAACCCACTCCCTGTTTATATTTCTACCTAAAGATGAAGTTGTTCTAGTGGAGTTTACCAAGTGAAGACCATTTCCTTGTTGGTATCTGCTCATGGAGATAAATTGATTTTGATGTGCTCGTCCCGTTATAAAACGGAAAGTTTCAAATACCAATGGGCTTACACTGTTATGTGATAAAGATATCGGGATTAGAAAATTAGAGTTTAAGGCTATTTACAAGATTTACTCAGACCCAATTTTCATTCCTGTTGCTGTTATTAGGCATCCTGGCTCCATCTTGCTCCCTCCTAGCCCCTCCCTCCTCTTGCCAGAGACTTGAACTCCTTGCTGATAAATCTGAACGCCGGGATGGAGTACCTCCATACCTTAAAATCATTCGATCAATCATACGATCCATTATTCGATCCATTATTTGATCAAGTATTTAATCAATCATTCAATCAATCATTTGATCAATCAAATTGATCAACCATTCGATCAATCATTCAATCAATCATTTGACCAATCATTCGATCAATCATTTGATCAATTATTTGATCAATCATTCAATCTATCATTCAATCTATCATTCAATCTATCATTCAATCATTCATTCCATAACTTAGTTGGTTTACTAAGTCAGCCTTTTAGAACTGTTCTCCCTAGATCTGGGCCCCTTAAGTTTGTCCCCCCCTAGGTCGGTTTTCTCTAGGTCTAGTAATTTTTCTCTTAGAGAAAGGTTTCCTCTCGCTCAGTTTCTACTACAGTTTCTCTTAAAGGGACTTTAGGCGTAATTTCAAGTGTAACTTCTTTTCAAAGAAGGGGAATGCCCGATTTACACAGGTATACTTGTAGTAAATGCCCTACTTCATAAAAGTCTTTCAGAGCCGTATCAATCAAGGTACAACTCAATCCCTCTCGTTGGTCTACAAGGGATAAGATCTAATCAGTTCAATAACACTTGCTATCAATGTCAATCCGAACAAGATTTATCTTTACCAATGCTTCACTTTCAATGTCAATCCGAACAAGATTTATCTTTACCAATGCTTTACTATCAATGTCAATCCGAGCATGATTTATCTGTACCAATGCTTCACTATCAATGTCAATCCGTACACTATTTACCTGTACCAATGCTTCACTATCAATGTCAATCCGAACAAGATTTATCTTTACCAATGCTTTACTATCAATGTCAATCCGGGCACAATTTATCTGTACCAATGCTTTAATATCAATGTCAATCCGGACACAATTTATCTGTACCAATGCTTTACTACCAATGTCAATCCGCACACAATTTATCTGTACCAATGCTTCACTATCATTGTCAATCCGGACACAATTTATCTGTACCAATGCTTTAATATCAATGTCAATCCGGACACGATTTATCTGTACCAATGCTTTACTACCAATGTCAATCCTCACACAATTTATCTGTACCAATGCTTCACTATCAATTCCCAATCTATATTTATTTTTCAAGAAGGGGATTTAGGACACTTCTCATTAACTAACCATGAAGTAATTACTCTCACACAGTAATCAAAACGGAGTCTAATTCCAACTGAATGTATCTTGTGTTCTATCTTACAAGTTAAGCTAATCAACGTAATTAATTACAAGTTTTACAACGTAATATACAAGTGTAGATAAGCTAATCACAAAACAAGTTTGACCGTAGTTATTTACAGAAGTAATTAGGTTAGGTTAATTGCAATATATGATAATTTATTATATTATATAATATAGATACCGCTATAATATATTAAACTTTGTTTTTTTAAAGTTAAGACATGATTATCCCATTTATTCTAGATCATTCAAAGCTTTTAAGGGTACCGTTGTATAAATCGGAGATGCCACACTTTTCTACAATCTCTTTAAGTCTGGAATTTAAAGTCTGTTCCTTGGTCGGTTTCTTCAATGTTTGTGTCCACCTAGGTCGGTTTCTTCAATGTTCGTGTCCATCTAGGTTTTTTCTTAGGTTCGTTAATATTTTACCTTCTAGTTTCATTGGAGGGAATATCGTCGTTAGGTTCTTTATAGAAATTCGGAGACTCAGGACGGGATAGACTGGCCTATAAAAGAGTGAAAATAAAAAATTTAAAATTTATCCTAAAAAACAAATTTCTTATCACTTTCTATTTCCGCAAAAACTGCATCTATCAAATGAATTATTATTTACTAGCAGTTTAAAATACTGGAAACATTAGAAGGTTCCAATTTTTACCTCTTAATCTTCATTTTCCCTCCATTTTCAAAAATAATTGATTTTTATCAACAAGTTGAATTTGATTTAATTGAAATTGATAATTTGATGTAAATACCTGATATCTAGCTAGTGAGGCACTGATAGCATCTGATTTCTTATCTCTACATTCATTTATTTATTCATTTATTAATTTATTCTTTTATTCATTTATACATTTATTCATTTATTCATTTATTTATTTTTTCGTTTATTCATTTATTAATTTATTCATTTATTCAGGCATTCATTTATTCATTTAGTTATTCATTTATTCATTTATTTATTTATTTATTTGTTCATTTATTCATTTTGTCACTTATTCATTAATTCGTTTATTCATTTATTTATTAATTCATTTATTCACCTTCCTTCTTCCTACATTTTATTTATTCATTCATTCATTTAGACAATTTTTTTTTAAAGATATCAATATTTGAGTGAGATTTGTTTTAACAAGTAAATAATATATAATATCAACGTTTTTTAAAAAAAAATTTTTATTTTCTTGTTAAAACAAATCGCGTTGAAATAAATATTTAAATCATAAATATTTGAATATCTTTAATTTCTAATTTGAATAAAATAAATTCCTAACAGGTGAAGTGGGTAGTTTAGAAGAAGGCCTGTACGGTCTGGAGAAAATATTTGTGAAAATACAGGGTTACCCAGATAGCATGAAACATTTGACCATAACTTTTATAATATGACTATCTAAAGGTTGAATTTTGTATTTAATTTAGTTTTTTAAATGTTTGTTAACTGACAAAGAAAGAAACAAGTGTTCAACTGCAGCAATTTGAGAAAAATGACAAAATGAATTTCATAAAATCTCATTTTTCGTGGGTAACCCTGTAATTGATCTTGGAACAAAATATAAAACAAGGTGTCGATATGAAACCCATGCATCCACGGTTTAGAAGAATAAAAAATGTTTAATATTATTTCCCCCTTTCCCTGGTTCTTT